GGCAGCCTTTCTCATGTCCTGTTTTATTTCCACTTGTCTGCAGGGCAAACTCCTACGCAGGCACCTTACGAGGCCAGCTCTGGCTTTGACCTTGGGAGCTTTCTCCTTCACCCAAGAGGCTCTGAGCTCATCTCAGACTGTGTCTCAGAAAACCAGCAAGACGAATAGTGCTAGCTGCTCACTGCCACCAACGTCCTCGCTAGCTCCTCCCATTACAGTGCCTCAGTCAGCTGGGGCCACCATAACAAAATGCCACGGACTATGTGACTTAGACTCAGAAAGTTGTTCATAGCTCTGGAGGATGGAAGTCCAAGATCGAGGTGCCAGTACGGTCAATTTCTGGTGAGGATTCTTCTGACCTTTTATATGGCCACCTTCTTACTGAATCCTCACATGAGAGAGAGAGAGTGAGAGTGAATGAGAGAGAGAGAGAAAAAGAGAGAGAGAGAGAGAGAGAGAGAGAGAGAGAATCAGAAAGACTGAGTGACAGAGAGTGAATGAGAAAGAGGACTCTAGTGTCTCCTCTTATAAGAGTATTGATCCTATCAGGTGAGGGTCTCACCCTTATGACCTCATTTTACCTTAATAATGTCCTTACCCCTAATATAACCACACTCGTGGTTAGGGCTTCAATGCACACATTTTGGGAAGACACAAACTTTCAGCCCATAGCGCACACACTATGTAGTTGAGACCATTGAACCTCTGTTCATAGGACCACAGAACTCAGAGACCCCTCCCTCCACAGGTGGAGAAAGCAGGCAGAGCTCAGCTCAGGTACCAACACTGAAAGCAGAGAGCACGGTTAATGCCCATAGAGACACTGGTTCCAGGGACAAGGAGCATGCTCATCCGTGTGCTTGTGCATGTGTGTGAGGATGCTGGGTGTGTGCCTCTGTATGTACACACACACACACGAGTGTGTGAGTGCCAGTATGCACATGCACGTGTAAGTGTTCAAGCATGTGTGTCTGCATGTACACACCTACATGTGAAAGTGTGAGGGTGTGAGTGTACAAGTGTGTGTGAGTGATATGCATGCACCTATCAATGTGAGTATGGATGTGCATGAGTGTGCATAGGTGAGAGTGAACATGTATTAGTGTACACATATGAGTGTGGACATGTGTGAATGTGCCTGTATTATGTATACATATGAGAGTGTGAGTGCGAGTGTGTCTGTGTGCATGCATGAGTGTGAGTGTGCATATGTGTGTCCTTTAATCCACATCACACCAAGGAGGCTGCACCAAGAGTGAACTGGGATCTTTGCTGGATGAATCTGTGGCCAAGGACACCCTGAAGGTGACAGACATAACGTACTGGAGGGACATCCCGCCAGTTATGGTGCATGGTTATTTCCTCTTCAGAGTGTTTACATGAAAGAGGCAGATGTGGAAAATCCCTACCATCATCATGCAGAAAAATGTGCCTCCATAATAACCGGAGGAAGAGACCCCATTGAAGATGAAATTCACACACACACACACACACACACACACACACACACACACATTCTTCTTGTGCCTGTATGAGAGGGAGGTTGATGGAGGACCAAGCTAGAAACAGACTGTCAATGTTGAGGGTTTTGTTACATTTTATGAGTTTCAATATAAAGAGAAAACATGTGTGACGACATTTAATGGAGAATTTCAAATTAGAGTGAAGTGCCCCGCTGGTAAAATGTCTTGGCTTTGCTACCCTCCGTTGGAGGCCGTGGCTGGATGTTCTGTTGGTTGGCACTGTGACCAGCCAGGGAGTGGAGGGGTGTGGAGCATGAAGGATTCGGCCTTTGGGGCCGAATGTCCCATCACTGGCTGTGTGGCCGCTCTGACCCTCAGCTTCTTCTTCTGTGCAGTGGGGATAAGGGACCTCCTTCGTAGGATCGTCCCAAACATGAGAGAAAATGGTACATGGCACCAAATTCAAGTTTTAAAATGTATCCTTATACTTGATTTCACCTTCATATTTTAATGAAATGGCCATACATTATAAGAGCCAAACGTTCTAAGAGATGATATAATAGAATGTCATCATAGAGAATCATCTCACATTTTTTAACATTGAGATTTCCCTAAATTACAATATATTTTGGATTTTGTACAAAATATATTGTAATTGAATATTATGTATCTCTTGAATATTGTATAACTGGAGGCCCAATGCACGAAGATTTGTGCAAGAATAGGCCTTCCTTTCCCTGGCTGCAGGCACCCAGGACCTGGGCTTTCACTCTGGCTGCCACCTTCCGCCTTCACTCCAGTCCAGCCGTCCACCTTTGCAGACTGCCAAGAGGCCTGGAGCGACTGGGGCAGGGCAGAATACCTGCATCGTCACCATGACAATGATGCAAGTGGCCCGGCCGCCATCTTTGTAGCATAAATTTGCATATCCCCTACTTGTTGGCTGTGGGCACCGCCATCTTTGTCATGAAGTGATGGTCAATTTACATATTCTGTCTATTAGATAGGATAGCTATAAAATGTGTTTTTTTTCCTTTTTTTTTCTTTCATTTTTTTTTTATTAAGGTATTATATGTGTACATATCTTACCAATTCCCCACGCCCCCATACGTGTCCTCCCTCCCCAGAGTTTTGTGTACATTGGTTATGCTTAAATGCATGCATACAAGTGCTTTGGTTGTTCTCTTATTGCCCCCATATCTCCCTCCCCTCCCCTCTGAATTTGATAGTTTGTTTCTTTACTCTCTCTGTATTTATCTTTTTATTCATCAGTTTATAATGTTCCTTATTATCCATAAATAAGTGAGATCATGTGGTGTTTTTATTTCATTGACTGGCTTATTTCACTCAGCATAATGTTCTCCAATTCCATCCAGGTTGCTGCAAATGATAAGATTTCTTTCTTTTTTATGGCAGCATAGTATTCCATTGTGTAGATGTATCATAGTTTTTGGATCCAATCATCTGCTGATGGGCACCTAGGCTGTTTCCAAATCCTAGCTATTGTAAATTGTGCTGCTATGAACAAAGGGGTGCATATATCCTTTTTGATTCATGTTTCTAGTTTCTTAGGATATATTCCTAGGAGTGGGATCACTGAGTCAAACGGGAGTTCCATTTTCAGTTTTTTGAGGAAACTCCACACTGTTCTCCACAGTGGTTACACCAGTCTGCTTTCCCATCAGCAGTGCACGAGGGTTCCTTTTTCTCCGCAACCTCGCCAGCACTAGTCGTTTGCTGATTTGTTGATGATAACCATTCTGACAGGTGTGAGATGGTACCGCATTGTGGTTTTGATTTGCATCTCTCGGATAATTAGTGACTTTGAGCATGTTTTCATGTGCCTCTTGGCCTTCCTTCTGTCTTCTTTTGAGAAGATTCTATTTAGGTCCATTGCCCATTTTTTAATTGGTGTATTCTTTTCTTATAGAGACCTTTTTAAACCTCCATTCCGGCACTGTGAGGGTCGATGAGTCAATCCTGTTCTCCTGGTCCTCTGTAAAGAGTGCTATCTCCCAGGAGACTGGTGCTGAGTCCCTTAACTGCGTGATTATTTCTAGCTCCCTTTTTGGTATTCTTGTCCTAGCATGTGTCATTTAGCCGTTAACCATGCAAACGCAGCAGCCAGTCATCTCAGAGGTTAATCTTCGGAGAACAGGAGACATAGCAACGCAGTAACGGTGATGGGGGCGCCAGGCGAGAGGCTCCCTCTGGAAGCGCTGTGCAGGGTTTCACACACGGGGGACTTAGGCTTCTGCACCGTCAGCCCCGATGGGGCTCTGCTGCCCTAATTGGAAGTCTTCTCAGCAGAATTAATGAGATCCTCACCTAATGTTCAAAATCGTGCCTCGGTTTTCAATGCCACACACTGAAAACAAGCCACCGGGGGAATGAGACGGCGCCCACCAGACAGTGTTTCGTAGGAGATTTAGATCCGTTTCACATACAAGATCATGGCTGCTGACATAAAACGGAGATCAGCCATCACTCTGTTGCCCTCACCATAGTTCCTTTTATTTCTGCGTCCTGTTCGGGGCCGTGCCCACTGGTATAGATCACACAGAGTCGTGGTCTTTATGGGGACAGACCGTATGAGCTGCCGCTGTGAAGGTTTGTTTTCCTGCTGCTAAACGCCTTCAGGCGAGCCGAAACAGGTTTGGCTCAGTGGATAGAGCGTCGGTCTGTGGACCGAGGGAGTCCCAGGTTCGATTCCAGTCAAGGGCATGTACATTGGTTACGGGTACATCCCCAGTGGGGGGTGTGCAGGAGGCAGCTGGTCGATGTTTCTCTCTCATCGATGTTTCTAGCTCTCTATCCCTCTCTCTTCCTCTCTGTAGAACATTAATAAAATATATTTTTTAAAAAAAAGCCTTCAGGTGAGCCTGCCATTGTGTGTGGGATGTCATGTCAGATGCTCTGTGGTAATTTACTCTCCCGTTCTCCTGCGATGCTCACTTGATGCTTTTCCCTGTGAAATCCTGACAGGTCGCGAGCATCTCTGGGACCACAGCGTCCTGGCCCAGGCAGGTCCTCCGGAGCCCTCGCTGGGTTGAGGGGAGGGACATTTCCAGGGCTTTTGATCTGCAGCGTCCACTTGTGAGAAGGATGCTTTTCTGAATCTGATGGACCACTTTGATTGGACGCTGCTGTCTCCTGCCAGCCCGCGGTGATAAGCTTCAGAGAGTGCTTTGTACCTGATGGAGGGAGTCAGATTCGGGTCTGCAATGTGTTTTCTGCGTAACAACAAGATGGGACGCAGCGATGCAGCCTGGAGGGTGGGTACTCGCCTTTCCTCAAAGATGCCGTCGGCCCGGAGGGAGAGCGGGCGGTGACAGGCAGGCGCCCCTGGGGACGTGGCCATGGCGGTGGCAGGCGCTAACAGGAAGGCATAAGGGACTGCTCCCGGGAGCACATCCTCTGAAGCCTTTGCCTCCGCCAGCGGCACAGGGAACAGAAGGGCCCTCTCTGCAGCCCAGGGCCCAGGCCTCTTTGTGCTTCTGCTCAGGAGAGGCCCGGAGCTGCCACCACTGCGTGACCATGCTCAGGACCCTCGGGCTGGCCCTGCTGCCTCTGCTCAGCACCGTGGGCTCCGGCCAGGCCAGCGGCTTCACAGGTGAGGGGCCCAGGCCCAGGGCAGGTGGTGCCGGAGGAGGGAGCTCCAGGGGGTGGGTCTCTATGAGTAGGGGCAGCAGCCCCGCTGAGAGCTGGGCAGAGGGTAGCATCTGTGCTTCTCACCACACTTTCCTGCAGCCACCAAAGAGATGGCGTGTGTGCCCCCGAGTCCCCTGAGGGCCTGTGGTTCAAATGCAGATTCTGAGCCAACGGTCCGGGTGGGACCTGGAACTGTGCATTCCTGCCGGTGATACAGGGAAGCAGGGCCACAGGCCATCCTGAGAGTGGGTGCAGATGAAGTGTCCAGGCCTTTGGTCCTTGACTTACAGAGGAGACCGAGGCCCAGGGGTCAGGACCTCGCCCCTGGCCACGCACCCAGCAGAGGGCGGTTTCCACGGGGGACCCTGACAGGGAGCCCTGAATGGGGTCTCTGTCCAGCTGCCCCTCACCGTGGCCTCTGTCAGCCCCCCCCCCCCCCCCCCCCCCCGTTTCCTCAGTGGTAAGTGAAGACCGAGGTGGCTCACCGGGGAGCAAGGCGCTGAGTCGGGGCATCTGTCCAAGGCCTTGGCCCGGCACAGGGCCAGCTGCTAAAAAACATTGATTTCTGAAGCCCCAGATTTCAAAGAATTGAGATCAGAAACCTTTAAATCACTGTTCTCCTGCGATCTGTCTCATTCAGTAGGGAACTCAACCAGGTCCGTTCTGTTCCTATAATCACTTCAGTTTTGTTCCAGTTTGAGGTTTTTGACCCATACGCAGGATTCTGGTTTCGTTGTGATGGTTCTCACCCGATTTCCCCTCTGGAGTGGGTTACATGTGAACCACGCAGCTCAGTCCAGAAGGAGCGGGACTATGGCGGAGCTAGAGGAGACCTGGGAGTGCTGCGTGACCCCTGGTGGCACCCGTGAGGACACCGGGACAGAAGCACAGCGATGCTCAGAGTCCCACATCTACTGGTCTTAGGTGCTTGTACCAGTCAGTGGATCCTACAACCCAGATTGCACAGCTAATACTGTACAAATGACAGGATGGGGCACTGGGGGTGGGAGGGAGAAACGGGCTCCGAACCACACAGCTGGTGATTGTGGAGCTGCTGTGCCTCAGGTCCTCTGACCCAGGGCCCAGGGTCTGGAGCGTGAAGAGGTCCCGCCTCTGAGCCCAGAGCCCAGGACCCCCATCTCCCACGCTGATGGCCCTTGAAGGGACTTGCTGAATGGCAGGATCTGCTAAGGGGTGTCTACTCCAGGCTCTGCCGAGAAGCTGGGCTCGGAGAGGACTCAGGGGCCTCCGGGAGAATGTAAACAACAGAACCAAACAAGTCATTCCCAAGTGCAGTTTCACAGGAGAGGCATGTGCGTGTGGTGTGTGTGCCAGTGACCAGCTGGGACCTTGCCATGACCAGCTGGGACCTTGCCATGACCAGCTGGGACCTTGCTCTGATCAGCTGGGGACCGGTGACTCTCTGGAGATAGGGACGAGGTGCCAACCACTAATGAAGGCATCTCATCTCGGGTTAAGACGAGAAAAACAGGATCTAGGCGCACCTTGCCGAATTCTCCACACAGGAAGTCCCTGTGCCTTTGTCTTGTGAGTCGATCCCTTTCACGGCGGCCATTGTCCCTAACCCCTCCTCCAAGTCACCTCTAGGCTCTTGGTCCCAGAGACTGATTTCTCCTGCCCCACCCACCCACCTACCCACCAAGGGGCCTCCCATTCCTTCCCAAAGCTTACTGTTGCCCACCCTGTTGGTGGAGACGGGCAGCAGGTGTCTCCACCCCCAGAGGCCCTGCCACCCCCAAAGGTGACGAGGAGGCAGCCAGTGGTTCCCGTGGCTGTGGGGTGGGCTCGCTGTGGGGTGGGGTAATGCAGCACTGCATTCACCCCAGGGTAAGGCCGAGGGTCCTCCCACCAGCCCGGGCTGAAGGCGGCTCAGTCCACTTCCTCCTGGGGGTCACTAGCCCCCCTGTGTCTCGCGGTCTGCGCACTCGGGCGCTGCTGTGAGGCAGACTATTCAGGGGTGCTGCCTGTTGCTGGGATGAAGAGGATCGATGCCGCCATCCCTGAGTTCCTCTCCAGAAACCCAGCTTCTCCCTGAGGGCTGTACACTATCACATTGAGCGCCTACCCATTGGCTGCACCGTCTCCTAGAACATGGAGCTCAGAGGTTGAGAATCTGAGTGTGTGAAGTACATTCAGATCTTGCATTCTTCTTGCACTGAGAGCCCCGTGCTGGCTGTGTGAGCTCCCGGGGACCGTGGCCTGAGCTTCAGCCTGGATGAAGTACCACAGGCTGGGAACTGAAACAGTGGGGATTGACTCCCTCCCAGCTCTAGAGGCCACAGGTCCAAGATCAAGGTGTCAGTAGAACTGATTCCTCCTGTTGGCAGTGAGAGAGACCCTGCCCCACCCTCTCCCCAACTCCTGCTGGCTGCTGGCCCTCTTGGGGCTCCTTGGCCTGTGGCGTATCACCCCAATCTCTGCCTTCATTTTCATGTGGCCTTCTCCCTGGCCCCCTCCTGTCTCTGTGTCCAAATTCCTTCTGTCCTATTGGATGGGGGCCGCCCTACTACAATATAACCTCATCTTAACTGTATCTGCAAAACCCCTATTCCTACATAAGGTCACCTTCTGAAGTACTGGGAGTGAGGACTTAGCATATAAATTCTGGGTGGGTGCAGGGCACAGCTCAGCTCTTAACAGTCCCTGCTACATGAGACAACTGAGGCCCCCAGGGCAGAGGGGATGCCCCAAGGCCGCAGGGTCCATGACAAAGAGGCACAGGCCTGGAGATGGCAGAGGCACCACAGGGTCAGAGCCTTGAGTGATCATGCTGATGAAGGGGCCATGGGCCCAGAACCCAGTGTCATCCTACAGGCGGGCCCTATGCCCACATCTCTCGATGACGACAGTAACAGCTGGGCTGACCTTGACCATCGATGATTCCTCACATGTTTATTTGATCTTCCATCTCATTCCTTTAAAAGGGTGCACTCGCTCTCTGAGCCTGGTGCATAGGACGCCTTCAGTACTCAGTTACTGTGGGAATTGTGGCTGATGCGCTCGTCCTGGGACAAACTGTGTCTCGTGGAGAGTGAGACGTGCAGACAATTCTCCTGGCTGCAGAGTCTGTCTGCCTCCTCCGTGTCTCCCTCTTGTGTCCCAGGGGCTGGGCCCAGCATGGCTCGGCCTTGTGGCTGCTCCGTGTTCTGTGGAGGAGGGTCCCTCAGTGGGCAAGGCTCTGTTCACGCTCTATCCCTTTGCGTTTCTGCTGCTGTCCTGACTCCTCAGTGGGCTGGTGGGCAGATCCTGAGAGTACGGGAATGCAGGGATCTTGTTTCACTGGCTTCTGCAGAAGCATGATAACCCCTCACATCGATCTGACTCTGGTGTTTGTTCTTCCTTTGGCTCCTGCATCCTCCCTGCCCCCTCACAGACAAAGGCCTGTCCTTGCTGAGCTACCAGCTGTGCAACTACAGCGTGACCCAGAATGTCCAGAAGGTGGAGGCCATCCGGCTGTCCCACGTGACCTACGCCCCCTGCGGTGGGTGGATCCCCTGGAGGCGGTGCCCCAAGACCATTTACAAGACCCGGTACCTGGCCGTGGACGTCCCCGAGCCCAGGAACGTGACCGACTGCTGCCAGGGCTACGAGCAGCTGGGCCTCTACTGCGTCCTGCGTGAGTCGGGGGCAGCGGGTGGGCTGTGGGCCTCTCCCTCATGTCCTTCCTTCTCCCCGGGGGGCCTGATGAGTCTTGGAGTCGTTACTGTTCACATCTACTAGCCCTGAACGTATGAGATTTTTCTGAAACGCGGGTTCCTAACCTTGAGCATCAGGATCCTGTGGAGGGCTTGTCCAAGCACACATCGCTGGCCCAGCCCTGGCTTCAGATCCAGCGGGTTGGGGTGAAGTTCAAGGTCCCAGGTGGTGCTGATGCTGCTGGCCCAGGGTTCCGGTGTGAGAACCTTTTGCTCAGGAGCTGGGGCTCCCAGACCTCCTTGCACACCCAAGGCCCCGGGGCAGCTTTAAGAACACAGATGCCAGGCCCTGCGCTTGGAGATTGGGATGGGCTTGGCCTGGGGCATAGCTTGGCCCTTGGGATGTTTTTAAAGTTCCCCAAGCTGCTAACCCATCGCTGCATTTGAGAACCAATCTGGCAGTCTCTTCTGTTGCCGTCGACTTTTCTTGTTAAAGGTGGTGGTGGCTCCTTTTTTTACAAGTCTGAAATCCAAATCTGGACTCCCATATATGAAAGGGATGGAAGGGGTCCCCTCAGGACCCTGTAACTGCTCAGAGGCCCCAAGTCCTCTTCCTTGCTCGGTGTGGTCTGGAAGATTCTTGGGGTGGTTACCAGGGTGACCGGTGGGAGTGTGCTGGGCCAGTGTCTGAGGCCAGGTGGGCTGTGCCGTGTTGGGGCTCAGGGCTCAGCCTCTCAGTGGAAAGGGAACTTTCCAGAAGGCCTCTTATAGGGGAAAGGGTGCACGTGTGAGCGTGTGTGTGGGCAGTGGCGATTGCTACATCTGAGTCAGTACCAGATCTCAATTGAGTTTCTGGGCAGTCAGAGGTACCTCTGTCCCTGTCCCGTCATGGAGGGGAAGTGGGAAGGGTGTGACTTCAGTGAGTGCCCACGGGGTCACCCTGAGTTGGGAGGGGTTCCATCTCCAGGGTGCAGAAAGCACCACTCAGGCGGGTCCCAGAGGGGATCCCACTTGACCCAGACCTGGGCCTGAGGCGAAGGCGTGGCCATCACACACCAGGGCGGACCGAACCGTAGCCTTGTGTCCTGTAGCCCAGCAGAAGGCCGCGTGGGCCTGGCCCGCTGAGTCATGCTGAGCCTCCTCCCTCAGGCCCCCTAAGCCACTCAGCCACCACGGCCTTAAAACGGAAGAGCATCGAGGACACGTGTGGCATTTCTTTCCGTCTAAGTTTAAATTTTATTTTTAAATCCAACGTTAGGAATGCAGGGATGACTCATCCATCACTTTTGAAATGTGACTTTTTACTATAATTACAAATATGCATACATGAGCCACGAAGAAACTCTGGGAACAAAGACGAATCTTCCAGGGACAGGGATGCCATTTCCACGGACTGGCTCAGAGGGCCAGGCACAAGGGGATGTCCTGACGGCTCAGGGCTGTGTCTCCCAATGACACCATTGTCCCAAACTCTGCCACCACCAATAAGAACCAGATAGGGCCGGTTGACCTCAGGGTGATGGCTTGGAGCCAGTTATATATGCCCCTTGGCTCTCTAAAGAGGTGCTGAAGGGAGGGGCTGACCCCTGGAGACCCCACCCAGATTCCTGGATGCTGGGTAGGAGTCCCTCCCTGTGCTGACTCCTGCTCCCTCTCTGCTCTCTGTGTTTTCAAGGGCACATGCGCGAAGGGGTGGCCAGCTGAGCTGCTTGCCCATGCCCTGGCAGCATCTCTCTTTCTGGGGGTGGAGGTCCCATTGTTTGTGAGACCTAGGTATGGAGCACCAGAATCCAGGGGGGAAAGGCAGGTGCACCCTCTTCCATTTCTCTTCACCTGTGAAGGCCACACAGGCCAAAACCTGCTGGCTGTTGGGGGGGCTAGGGAGGTCACAGGTCACAGTGGCCTGAAGGAGGGTCCAGGATTGGCTGAGACACACCAGCCCCGCCCACCAAAGGGTGACCTTTCTGTGAGGGCTGCTGCCCTGCTGAGCTGAACAAGTCAAGTCTCCAAGGAGAGGAGGCAGGGAGGGCCGTGCTCCTTCCTCACCACCTGCCTCTCATCGTTCTTCCCCTCAACACACCAGCCACCAGGAAATGACTCTCCTGGGACATCCACCCCACTTTTAAAGTGTCAGCACCTTTAATTAGGAGCTCACCAGGTGGCTGGAGGGCCGGAACGTTCTAGTTAGAGAGTCCCATAAGCAGGGCTGCTCTGGGGAGTTACAGTAGGGGTGGCTAGAATAAGGAGAGTGGGGTGGGGGGAGGACAAGATGAGCACCTGGGCACCAGAACTGCCCATGGTGGAAGCATTTACACGATGGGCATTGGCCATACAACCTCCTCCACACTGGCACAGCTCTTTTTTCAAGGCCTGTTTGATTAGATCTCATTCAGAGCAGCCTAGTCACAGGCTGGCTCTTTGGAAACTGAAGAGATTCAGTCTCTGTGAGGGATCGATCCCCCGACCACTGGTTGCTTTGCACAGGATGGGGCAGAGGCCAAACCCTGGCTGTGGTTGCTATGGGGACAGGCTGGACATCTGGGAGGATAGGTGGGCCTAGGGGGAGAATTGTATCTTGGCAACCCAGTGCTCTCCGCCCACAGGCCTCATCTCCAGGCAGCAGGGAGACTCCGACGAGCTTCCTCCTTTCCCCACCCACTCGGCAGCCGAGCAACTCAAAAGGGAAGAGCGTTATGAGAACACAGGGGCATGCCTTTCCGTCTACACGGCTTTCAATTTCTAAAAACCCAGCCTTTGGGAGGCCATGAGAACTCATACATTATTATTATTTTTTTTAAATGCATCTTTGTGCTGTTGTTACACAAAAGGAGGCACACGCCATGCAGGAAATCTGGGGCACAGAAGAGAACACGGGGACCTCACCGACACGCCACCCTGCTCCCCAGAGCAGAAGCCCTGCGCACAGACTTCTCTCTTCGTGCAGGGCAGGCCAGTTACAAAGTGGGGGGGCACCCTGCCTGAGACTTCTCTGTATCATGCCTTCACCATTTGGCAATGCATTTGGGCCACGTTTCATGTCAGCAAATATTGTCCTGCGGCATGAGTCAACAGCCACATGGCATTACCTCACAGGGATGCATCAGCCTGTAGCCATCGCCCACATTTCACATCCAGTTGCTTCCAAGTGTTCATCATTGTCCATCACGCTGCCACAAGCGTCTGATGGTGCAAACGCCGCTGCACACCGGGGGTGGTGCTAACTGAGCATCTCAGCCCGTGCTGGCCAACTGCAGTGACCCCCTGGTTTCCGCTCAGCCCCGCTTCACCACGGGTCCATCACCGTGGCAGAAGGACCCCACTGCACCCCAAGACTATCCCAAACTCCCCGGCCCCCAGGAGCGGGAATGATATTCCAGAAGGATCGCCTTTCTGAGCCCAGGAGGCCTCAGTGCTGCCTTTCAGACAACCCCTGTGGGTGTCCACTAGCCCCGTGACTGTAGCCTCAGGTTGCCAGGCGCAGGCAGAGCAGTCCTGGTTCATTGTCAGCGATGAGATAGTGGAAAGAGGAGCTGGTTTCTGACTTTCTACCAAGTTGGAGCTGTTGACTGTTCTCTTGGGCTCTCAGAGAGCGGCAGGCCTCCTGGGGAGGGAGGCGGGGAGTCCCCACAGCGAGCAGGTCCAGATGAACGTGAACGGGAAAACATGTCTGTAGTGATTCACAACCATTCTTGGCTGCTGATTTTTCTTGGTGGCCTGTACTTTCTTTTCATTCAGTAAACCTTTTCGTGTAGAATAGTTTATTTTTATTTTTAAAAATATATATTTTATTGATTTCTTACAGAGAGGAAGGGAGAGGGATAGAGAGCTAGAAACATCGATGAGAGAGAAACATCGACCGCCTGCCTCCTGCACACTTAATACTACTGGGGATGTGCCTGCAACCAAGGCACATGCCCTTGACCGGAATCGAACCTGGGACCTTTCAGTCCGCAGGCTGACGCTCTATCTACTGAGCCAAACCAGTTTCGGCAGTATGTAGAATAATTCAGATTGAGAGACAAGTTGCAACGGTGGCAGAGTTCCCCATACCCTTCCACAGGTCCCCGTGTGTGAGTGTCTTGTGTCACCATCGGATACACGTTCCCACGAAGCAACCCACATTGGTGCATAGTTGCTCATTCGCCTGAGCACTTCATTTGGATTTCCCTTTCTTTCCTCCTAATGTCATTTTTTTGTCCCAGGAGCCACCTCACATTTAGCCTCAGGTCTCCCTAACTGTAAGGTGCTGGCTTTTAGGACGGGGAGAAAGCAATCCTTGGTTGTTGGCCCCACGGGGACGCTGGAACTTCTGTCCCAGGGGCTCTCTGGGTGGCACCGCTTTACCCTATTTTACGCCCCCAAAGCCAGTCCCTGTGGCGATGTCTCCAGGACTTTAGACATCAGCACGGCGCTGCCCAGGCCTGGCCACCTTCCTTGAGCAGCGGCACGGTGCTCTCCGCGGTCCACAGACGGAGTGAGCGTCAGGAGATGCCCCGGGTGTTGTCTGAGCGGGTCAGCTGGTTTGTATTGCTGACATCCTTAGCTGCTCATTACTCTCTCCAGCCCTGAATCGGTCTGGGGAGTTTGCATCCAGACCCGGCGTCTGCCCGAAGGAGGGGCAGGAAGCATCCACCTCGCCATGTACCCTGGACGCCGACTGCCCCGGACTCCAGAAATGCTGTTCCTTTTCGTGGGGCCACCGCTGTGCGGCCCCTGCGCCCCAAGGTAGGACTGAGACCTGCAGCAAAGCAGGTGCCAGCGAGGCAGCCGCCCATGGGCGGGGGCCCGGTCCTGGCCTGGTGAAGGTTGGGGAGTGATTTCCAGGAACCTCAGCCAAGGCCATGATATCACGGGGAGTCCTCAGCTGTGTGTGGGCACATCCCTCTCTCACTCAGTGCAACGTCTCTGCAATGTCTCTGACTGCCGACGCCTCAGGGGGTGGGGGTGGGGAGGGCTCACTGCCTGGGGCACCCTATGGTTCCACGTCAGGTGGCACTTACTGGAAGCCGACCTGTCTGGTAGCTGCTCCCGAAATGCCACAGGGGCCCGAAATCCTGCACATAGCATCTGCCTGGCAGGCCCGTGGCCCAGCCCTCAGGGCATGCCTATCTGGTCTGGAAGGTTCTGGTCTTGACCTTGACCTTGGAGAATGGGTCGGTCAAGGTTCAGATCTAAGGATAAATATATCATGGTCATTGTCCTGGCTGGGTCGTTCAGTTGATTGGAATGTTGTCCTATCACCAAAAGGCTGCAGTTTTGATTCCATAACCTAGGTATGTGCTGGGCAAGGCAGATGTTTAGGTTATGGGTCTGATCCCCAGTTGGGACGCATAAGGGAGGTAACCAATTGATATTTCTTTCTCACATCGATGTTTCTCTCTCTCTCTCAAAATCAATAAAAAATAATACATATCTTCTGGTGAGGATTAAAAAAAGAAAAATATCATATACATTATATGTTACTAGAAGCCCGATGCACGAAGATTCCCGCTAGAATGGGCTTTCCTTTCCCTGAGAGATCAGGGGTGGGGCAGAACACCTGCATTGTCACCATGGTGACTACGCAAGCTTCCTACCCCTATCACTGGGAGCCTGTGTATGCAAATTAACTGCCACCTTTATTGGGTTAATTTGTATACCGCTCTTGATTGGCTGGTGGTGTAGCAGATTTACGATCAATTTACATGTTTGTCTCTTATTAAGATAATATAGTCTAGTATTAGTATAGTATAAATAATGTAAAGTATTATATATCACATATATTAATTATGCTATTTTACTATACATTATATATATATATATATTAGAGGCCTGGTGCATGAATTTGTGCATGGGTGGGGTCCAGCCAGCCTGGCCAGAGGTAGAGGACATGGGCAGTTGACTGGTCTGCCTGCTGGTTGAACTCCTGGTTGAGGGGACAATTTGCATATTAGCCTTTTATTATATAGAATATACACTGAGTGGCCAGATTATTATGCATTCAGAGATCATCATAATCTGGCCACTCAGTGTATATCACAGTCTATATATTCTATAAAATATATATTACACACATTATTATCTAGGATACATTATCTCCAAAAATGTAGTATGTAGTATATATTAAGATTACAAATACTATACTATAAGAGAAGGGTGGGACAGGAGATGGGGGAGGTGTCCCATGCCAGCCGTGTGGCAGCCCCCCTCATGCAGGGGGGTGAATGCAGATGGGCCAGCTCCTGCTTTCCAGGCCTCCTGTCCCCCTTCTCAGCCCTGGTGGCCCCACCTGGTCCCGGGCCTGGAGCTCATCAGCCTGTGCTCCCTGCAGCTCCAGAGGGCACTTGGGAGCATTCCTGGTACAACGTGACCGTCCTGGTGAAAATGGACTTCAGGGAACTCCAGCAGGTGGACGCCAGGCTCCTGGATCACATGCGGCTGCTGCACTCCATGGTGGGTGAGGGGCGGGAGCCTGCAGGCCGCCTGCTGGCGCCAGGGCAAACCAGGGGGTGGGGAGGGGTTCCACGAGGGAACTTAAAATGCCCGTCTCCGAAGCAGATGTCAACTCCTAATTTATAAAAACAAAGCTTCAAAGAGGTGTGATTTATGTGCAACAAAGTGCACACACAAAAGCGTGCGGTTTGAAGTCTGACACACACGGCGTTTAAGCGGTACACCATAATGGGGTAGAACACGGAACCCCTAATCCTCTAACGGCTGTTGCTTAAACCAAAGGGTGCCCAGTGTAGCTGGTCTGGGCCCCAGAGCTGGGCCCTCCCTGGCCTCCCCCTCGGTCCCCAGCGTGCTGGGAAGCGCTGGGTGGGGACCTTTCCCCGGCACTATCGCTGTTCGGGGCTGGGTGGCTCTGTGGCCGGGGCTGCCTGTCATCATGGGATTGCACAGCATGCCTGGCCTCTTTGCACACGCACTCAGACGCATGCCTAGCTGGGACAGACCCACACGTCTCTGAACTGTGGCAGCCACACATGCCTCTGAACAAGGCCACAGGTCCCCTGAGGGGCAGCTCTGTTCCTGCTGCAGACACAGCTCACACTTGCTGGCACTGCAGAACCTTCCAGCCAGGATGACGTTACCTGGCAGTGGCCGGGGCATTGCCCATCCTCACGGATGGAGGTCCCTGCAGGGCGTGGTCTGCCTTCAAGACCGCATGGGCCCATGTTCCCGCAGTGAGCCCAGGCTCAGAAGGTCCCACACTTTGTTTAATGATCTGGCGTTGTCTCTTGAAATGCTTCATGCTTTAAAAAAAAAAAAAAAAAAAAAAAAAAATATATATATATATATATATATATATATATATATTTGATTGATTGATTTTTTACAGAGTGGAAGAGAGGGATAGAGAGTTAGAAACATCAATGAGAGAGAATCATTGATCAGCTGCCTCTTGCACACTCCTTACTGGGGATGTGCCTGCAACCAAGGTACATGTCCTAGACTGGAATCGAACCTGAGACCTTTCAGTCCGCAGGAGGATGCTCTATCCACTGAGCCAAACCCGTTCAGGCTGCTTCATACTTTTTGAGTAAGGCCCCCAGTTTTGCTTCTGCACTGGGCCCCACACACTCTGTGGTTGGATTTGCTTGACTTTCAGACCCCACCGACGTGTCCTATGGGTAATGGGGAGGAGGTAGACCCGGACTTGGGTCCCTTCCCTGCAGAACAGATGGCACACACATTCACCTCGCTCTGGGCTGTTCAGTAAAGCGACTTGAGGGGCATTTCAAGAGGGCACAGTCCCCTGGGTGCTTCTTACCTGCCCCAGCTGGAGGACAAGATGGCCCAGCTAAATAGCCAGTGAGAGCATGGCTCAGGAGCCAGACTGCCTGGGTTCTAATCCTAGTGCTGCCACTCATCAGCTGGGTGGCCTTGGGCAAGTTACTTAACCTCTCTGTGCCTTAGATACCACTTCCTTTAACTAGAAATAGTCAGAGTCCTGTCAGAGACAGTGGCTGTGCGGTTTAAACAGTGCATGAAAGGAGCTTAAAGAGATATCCGGCCGGAGCAGAAAGGATTCCGATGAAATGAGAAAAGGGGCCATGAAAGCTACAGAAGTCAGATGTGCCACTTAAAGCTTGATGTCCAGCCCTCTGATTCCCGATGTGACCCTCTGTCATGAGCCGTAAGGATGGGGACCGCGGGGCCCAGGGGGCTGACCGGTGTTTTTTCGGGGGGTGGCCGTGACAGAGCACCACAGATGGAGGGTTTACATTACAGAAACTTAGGGTTCCCCGGTCCTCAGGCTGGAGGCCTGAGATCGAGGTGCGGGCAGGGCTGCTCCTTCTGAGGCAGTGAGGGAAGGCTCCCTCCCAGGCCCCGCCCCTCGGCTGTAGGTGGCTGTCTCCTCCCTGTGTCCCCATAGCAGCTCCTTCTATCAGTGTCTGTCTCTGTGCCCAAACCTCTTCTCTGTGTGAGGACACCAGTCACATGGGCAAAGGTGCACTCAAATCACCTCATCTAATCTGACTTCATCCACTGAGACCCTCTGTCCAAATAAGGGGCCATTCTGAAGTCCTGCTGGTAGGACTTCAACATAAAGATTCGGGGTGCGGAGAGTGGGGAGCACTGTTCAGCCCATGACAGCCAGCGTTGCAGAAGTATTTATAGTCTGGCTTGCAGGGCTGTCATTGGGGTGATGACGGAAATAAACTATCGTAGGGGTTCTCTCCTGCAGACCAGAATGGCGAACGTGCTGTTCACGCAGATTCTCTGGGCCTCGGTCTCCCGGGCTGTCTGATGGGGGCGCTTTTCCCGGGTGATCCTCTAACTCTGGCTTCACAGGTGACCAGCGCCCTGCGGCCAGTGGATGCCGCCGTCTACCACCTGCACTCGGCCTGCGGGGACACCTCGACCACGGTGTCCCGGCTACTGCTGGGCCTGCCGCGGCCGGTGCCCGTGGCCAACGTGTCCGCGGTGTTGGACGGCATCGTGAAGCGTGTCTACGAGGTGATCAACATCCAGGTGCAAGGTGTGCTTTCCCTCGTCCGCGCCTGGGAGCAGGGGGAGGAGTGGAAAAATAATCCGGCAGGCAGAGGGGGCGCTGACCCCTTTAGTCCATTCTGGTCCAAACCAAGTCAAACTGTGTCTCCACCACTCGCTCCCATCCCCAGTTCCCACTTCCATGCAGGTGGGCGCCGGTGAACAGACCCCAGAACATATAGGATTTCTTCCGTCAGCTCTCAGGTTCCTCCATTTCCCCTTCTTGTCTCTGTCCCACCCTCGCCAAGGACATTCTTGTACCTAAAAGGCTTTGTCAGCAGAACTTGTACCAAGTTGGATTTGGTAAAGCACACAGATGCGGACTTGTTTCTGGAAGAAATTATCTGGTCTTTCTTCTCCTTCTCCTCCTCCTTCTCCTTCTTCTATTTCTTCTTCTCCTCCTCCTCCTTCTCGTCCTCCTCCTCCTCCTTCTCCTTCTCCTCCTCCTCCTTCTCCTCCTTCTCCTTCTCTCCTCCTCCTCCTCCTCCTTCTCCTCCTCCTCCTCCTCTTCCTCCTCCTCCTCCTTCTCCTCCTCTTCTTCCTCCTCCTCCTCCTCTTCTTCCTCCTCCTCCTCCTTCTCCTCCTCTTCTTCCTCCTCCTCCTCCTCTTCTTCCTCCTCCTCCTCTTCCTCCTCCTCCTCCACCTCCTCCTCCTCCTCCTCCTCCTCCTCCTCCTCCTCCTCCTCCTCTTTCTTTTCCTTTTTCTTTTCACGTTTGGTCTATATCAGGGGTTAGCAAGCACTTGCAAAGTGCCAGGCAGTAAATACTTGGGGACCACATGGCTCTGGCTCCACGCTCAGCTGCCGTGTGACATGGTAGGGTGTGAGCGAGCCCACGGCACCAGCAGCGCGTCCTGTCCCAGGACGGGAGGACCTGAGTCCCCTGCTCCCTGGGGGTGGCTACTCCTGTGGGGAAGCTCCTCCCAGGTCAGTGAAGGTCACACATGAGGAGGCCAGGCTCTGGGTCTTTAATTTCCTGAAAATCCTCACGTGTGCTCGAGGGCCACGCCCACTCGTGCCAATAAGAGAAGTGTCTGTCGGCCTGTGAAGGCCCCCAGAGGGAGACCAGGACCGTGCCTGTAGGTGAACAGATGGGGGTTAGCACTGGAGGGGGGAGCGAAGGCACGCCCCGGGCTTGGGGCACGAGGGGTCAGGTGGGAGAATCTGTTATGGGATGTGGGCTTCGACTGGGTGGTGTTTTGTTTGGGGGGAGTGGGAGGGGCTTTGATCCAGGGCTTTGTTCTAGATTGGATGCTGTCAGAAAATGGAGTTCTATGATTGGGTATCTCAACAAGAGGAGCAAATTTGTCTGAAGATAAGCTATAATTAGTATAAAACGGAGAGCCACTCCTTTTGCCCAAGGTGACATTCTGCGGGTAGCACAGTGGCCGTTTTTGCCTGGCTTTGGAAAAATCGTGCAGTGGTGTGGTTCTGTCTCGCTTTATCCTGGTCGGGGAGTAGCCGTGTGCGTTCTGAGGCGGTTTCTGTCGGTGGGAGAGGGAAGGGCCCAGCTGTGAGTGACAGGCCGCCTCTGAATGCCAGGGCCCGCTCTGCTCCCGTTCTCAGTCCACAAAGGAGCCATCCTCCAGACCAGTTCTCGGGGAGGGTGCTTGGACCCATCATTTCATGACCCTTAGACTCAACGCAGCCCCAGAGCGATTGGCTCAGGCATCCGTAGTCTCCCAGGCGCATGTCACGGCTGCAGGCGAGCACGGCAGGGTCCTGAGCGGTGGCCAGCTGCTCTGCGGGCTTTCTGAGTCAGCGCTTCAAGAAGCACCTGGGCCCACTGCTCTGTCCACTTCCTCGGCTCAGAGGACACCAGTGGAGGCCAGTGAGAACGGCCAGGCGGCTGCTACTCACCTGCTCTTCTTTCCCATAGATGTGGATGAGTGTTTGCATGAGGAACTCAACGCCTGCTCGGGAAGGGAACTGTGTTTAAACACGGAGGGCTCCTACCAGTGTGTCCACCAGCCAGAGGAGCCGGCCTCGTCCCCCCAGAAGCTGGACGGCACGTGTGAAGGTAAGAGGCCACAGGACGTGGCTAAGGAACCTTTCCGTTTGATGGACCGTGGACCACTGAGATTCTCTCTTCTCACAAAGGTGACTGGATGGCTCATGGGCAGAGAATAGTCACCTGGTTCTGTAGATTGTTCTGGCTCTCATACCCGGCTATTCTCACCTTCTTTCTCCAGTTGAACCAATCTGTGTGCGGTGCTGGTAACAGAAGCACGTATGAGTAGATCATCATTTCTGCTCTCAGGAAACTGAGCGGAGAGCATGCCAGATGCTTGGCGGGCATGGTGCATATGAGTAGGATGCCTGTGTAATTTATTGTTTAAATCGGGACACTGGGGGTGAAGGGGCCTGATGAATACATACACTCCTGGGCCCAGGAGTAATCTGGACCAGCCCTGGGCTTACTGATTAATTAGCTGTAAAAGAGCGAGAGAGACATGAGGCAGCAGGCAGAGGTGTTGGCCGGACAGTGTAACAGATGACGATTCCTGAATGAGTCGGGAGAAGACTAGGGCTATAATGATTATTTTTAATAATAACTGTTTACATTGAGAAGGGGCTGAAGTGGAGTGGAGCGGCCAGGATGCTGGCTGAGCTGCATGTTGGGTGCTGGAGCTCAGAGGGGCTGAGCTGCGTACGGGAATCCGGGGTCATCAGCGTCCAGGTAGCATTTCACTCTGGGCATGGTTGGGGGTCTGCAGGGGGCGCCTGGTGCCTGGGGCTGAGGAACCCAGCTATTTAGAAGTCAGCACAGGAGGAGTGGCTTGCAAAGGGAGGGAGTGAGACGGGAAGAACAGTAGGAAAGATAGCCTCAGGAGTGTTGATGAGGAGGAGGTGCAGAGACCCAGAGAGCCCGGATGGAAGGGTAGTCCCTAGGAGGGCCTTTCTGGAAGGTGGGTGATGCAGAGCAGGCTCGTGTGCTGATGGGAGAGACCCTGGTCGGTTCTTGCAGCTCCGGCGTTCAGTCAAGCTTTCTCTGTTCTGGGAAGCTGCTCTTGGAGGCCTCTCCTCCCTCCCTCCCCTGGGCTTCCTCAGCTGGGATGATGGTCACCTGTAGCCGCTCTGGTGGCCAGCGTGTGGTCAGGAGAAGCTTAGTGGCCACAGCCTGTAGGGCTGCCTGCAGGTGAGTGAGGCTGCAGGTGCAGCCTGATGGTGAGCTGGAAAAGCTCAGCTTGCATGGCGGGACAGGAAGGGGCCAGTAAGTGAGCATTTATTCACTCACAGGACCCATTTTAATGAGTTCCTACAATGCACAAGGTACTGTGCCTGCTTTGTTGGTGAAGAACAGACTAGAGGAGTCATGGCTGACCACAAATCCACCCCTTCCTCCCTTAGTGACAGAGTTAGATTGAGTTTGGTGTGGAAATGTTAGCTGAAAAGACTAGGCTTCCTTACCTCTCTTGCAGGTAGGATGGCCATGTGACTTGTCTTAGCCAGGGAGACATGGCAGAAGTTTCCATGGGAACGAGGAAGACATGGTTACAGGCCCTGCTAAGACCAAGCTGAGCACAGGAGTATGACGGCCGAGGCCCCCTTGGCCATCTGAGCCACAGGGTGACCTTGGGGATAAGGCTCAGACACTTGTGATGAGGAAGCAAAGACAATGAAGAGGTCCAGGCCTGAGGTGCCACAGATATTTCCTACACAAAGGGTATTCCTGACGGGGGTCAAGCCCTGTTATGTGGGGTTATATGGAGCAACTTATCCCAATGCAAATGGCTTGGGCAAGGCAGGAACCAGGGAGGTAAAATACAGAGAGGGTCCCGGAAGCAGGTGGCTGGTGGTAGGGTAATGGGTGTGGTGGGGAGGTGTATCTGCTAGACAAACACCGGGCCTCCCAGCACAACTGGGCGCAAACCACAGACTGGGCATTAGTGGGAGAGGAGATTTTTAAAAACATATATATTTTATTGGTTTGGTTTTTTTTTTTACAGAGAGGAAGGGAGAGGGATAGAAAGTTAGAAACATCGATGAGAGAGAAACATCAATTAGCTGCCTCCTGCACACCCCCTACTGGGAATATGCCCGCAACCAAGGTACATGCTCTTGACTGGAATCGAACCTGGGATGCTCTATCCACTGAGCCAAACCGGCTAGGGCAGGAGAGGAGATTTCAAGATGGGGCTCGATGGACTTGGTACCACCCTCAGAGTTCAGCCTAGAGCTAAAACTTTCTCTTGTTATTGCAGAGTCTGATTTATTACTTTAGCAACATTCTAACAACAGCGGAAAGATAAGTCATTCCCAGTCTCAGCGTGCCAGCCAACAGTTTTCTTTTTCCCTGCTCCCTTCCAGGTTTTCTACCCTATTTAAATCCTGCTATGCGTGCAGTTTTGTACTCTGCTTTCTCCACTCACCAGCATGTCTTGTGGAGGCTTCCAAGACGCAACCTGGTCCTCATCAGACTAATGTCGATGGTTGGGTAATAGTGATGGCGTATGGCAGTGATATCATGTCTCAGCTATCTGCCCCTTGGGGGGCATTAAGGTGGCTTCCAACATTCTGCCATAGAAACGAGAGCTTTCACTAGCAGGGTGAGGTGGTTATGGAGAAAACTGTTACTCACGTTTGGATCCCTTAATGTAATTCGCATGTCCCGTCCCCTTTAAAGGAATGCAACAGTGAGGACCCTCCCTTTGTTCATAGTAACAGTCAGGAGCTGCTTAGCACGCAAGTCACCCGGGCTCTGTAATAAGCACCTTTACAGCATCACTTTATTTAACCCTTAGACCAGCCCCTCCAGGCAACTGCCCCACAGTGCCTCCCCCAGAGGCTGCCCTTGTCACAGCGTTGGTGCCCCCTGGTGGCCGTGCCCTGGTCGGGAGCTGACCAGGGTTCTAGGGCTGTGGACTATTTCCTTAGGTGACCCAGAACTCAACAGGATAGTGAATGCAGGGTCCTTGCTGACTCTTCCCGCTTTGCCATGGAGGGGTGAGGGTAGAGGCTGCGGGATGATGCTGGGAAGACCTGGAGGGTCCGTCTTCATCACTGGAATGTTCTATCTACTTCTTCCAATGAAGCTCCATGGGGCAGGTCTCCTGTCACTGCCAGTGAGTCCTGTACTTGGCAAATAGTAGACACTCAACACATCTATATATATAAAAGCCTAATCGACCATTATGACTGGACAACCAGATGACTAGCCAATAGCTATGATGTGTACTGACCACAAGGGGGCAGATGCCCCACGCAGGAGTTATCCCCTGATAGTCAGTGCACTCCCACAGTCAATCTCCCAGAGCCAGCCGACCTCCTATGGTCCCTTCCCTTGGCTGGCCAGCCCTGATTGGCCCCCATCAGGACTGGGTGAGACAGCCCTAATTGGTAGGGAAGGACCCCCATCTGTGCACGAATTCATGCACCGGGCCTCTAGTATTTAATATCAATGAAGGAAGAGGGAGGTTTAATGGTGGCTGTTCCTAGGAGCTCTGAGTGTGGAGTGGTGAACATACCAGCCCACCTGTAGCCACAGGGCACTCCTCCACGCACACCTGGGCCCACAAAGCTTTGCACTGACTCCCCTGCAGACCATCCTTGGATCTACTCTGTGGCCTCTGAGGGGAGAATCCCGTCCGTCACTGAGAATAGAAGCCTTGAATCAGTTACTGAAAATCCTGTGGTCAGTAAACTGAAAAAGACATTAGACTCTATTTATAGTGAGGGATGTTGCCAGCCAGACTCTGCCATGCTGCCCGGATACTGTGTTACAAGGTCCCGTCCAGACGAAGGTCTGTCCCACAGGTAAAGGGAAAGCTGCCCTGCCCGGGTCCACTCCCCACCCCCCCCCACCCCCCACGGGGAAGAAAAGGCGAACCCAGCGTTGCCAGCTCCGAAACAGAGTGAATTCCAATAGCATATTGCTAAGGGAAAGCAGCACATGGTTTAAATTTAGACGCTAATATAAATGAGCAATCTGCTGGAACGGTTTAGAGGCACAAGCCCGTGGAAAATACAGCACCAATTTCACATGCTTTTCTTGTGAAATTAGTCATTCGATTAACGGCGCCCGGGGCAGCTGGGTTCTTGCACAGAACAGAGAGCGTAGGCAATGCATCCTGGTTGGCATGCGACGTTCCAGGAACGCGCTCTGCTTTTTGGACAGGAAGGAAATGTTTTAGGACCCTCCTAGCTCCGTCAGCCACTGGCCCCTTCTCCGCTGGAGCCCACTAGCTGGTCAGCACCATAGGAAAACCCGTGTTTGGCCAAGGCAGGCCTGCCTGCTCCAGGGGCAGCCAGGCTGGCAGGCTGTTCCCCAAGCCAAGACCCCTTCGTCCCTAACTGAATGCTCAGGCTCTTGGCTCGCATCCTCAGCATTTCTACCTTTATGGGGTCAGGTCTCAGGGTGACCCAGAGATAAGGGGTGCCGTCTGACCCGGGGTGCCTGGGAAAGGCAGCAGTCCCGCTTCCCCAGAGGTGGGTCAGGGCTGCCCCAAAGCAGCAAGGCCCAGACCCAGGGACCAGAATCCAGTGTGCTCACCGCGATGAAGGGCACGTTCCCGAATGAAGGTCGGGAGGCACATGGCAGCAGCGTCCTCCTGCCGCACAGACTCAGGGCTTGGGTGTTATGTTCAAGGGCCTCCTTACACGAGGGTCGTCAAAAAGCCGAAGGGCTGCGAGAGCAGATGTCCTGGCTAATGAAGGGCGAAAACCCGGGTTCGAGCACAAGGGGCAGAGGCATCGAGCTCTGACATAGCAGAGGGCTTTGGCGGAGGGGGTCAGAAGCTGGCTGATTCCGCAGCAACACGACTGACTTTCCAAGCGGCTGTCCTGCCAACAGCTGCCTTGAGAAGCAGTTAAGGAGGCTGGGAGTGGGCTTGTGTCCTGCAGCTGTTGTAACCAAGGGCCACACACCTGGTGGTGTCAAACAGCAGGGAAAAAGTAAAGAGAAAAGCAAAAGGAGGCGATCCAATATTTTTTTAAAAAATATATTTTATTGATTTTTTTTACCGAGAGGAAGAGAGAGGGATAGAGAGTTAGAAACATCGATGAGAGAGAATCATTGATCAGCTGCCTCCTGCACAATCCCTACTGGGGATGTGCCTGCAACCAAGGTACATGCCCTTGACCGGAATTGAACCTGGGGCTTTTCAGTCTGCAGGCCAACAACGCCCTATCCACTGAGCCAAACCGGTCTCGGCGGTGATCAAGTATTAAAAAAAAGAAAAAGAAAAAAAAAAAAAAAGACTAAAAGAGCAGTTATGCATTCTCTCACAGTTCTGGAGGGCGGAAGTCTGAAAAAGACAGATGTGTCTTCCTGAACCTCCCTCTGCCTCTCATCCTGGGAGAGTGGTCAGGGCAGTGAGAATTGAGGTGGAGGTCCCCAGTCCCATCCAAGTAAGGCGGTGGGGGGGCGGGGAGGGAGGCTCAGTCATTTATCTCCACCCGCTTTGAGGGGGACCCACGGGGGTTCACAGGAGGGAAGCACGCACCCACGGGCAGGCACTCCCTTTTATAAGAGGCAGCACGGTGCTCAGTTGGAGGGGGACACCGCCAAGGCTGAGTCAGAGGACGAGGGTGAGGCACCGACCTTGATGCCGAGCCTCTTGGCAGCCCAGGCAGGAAGGAAAATGGGTTGAATGACATTAGTTTTTATTTTTATTTTTACGGAAAGGAAACATGCACATTTGTCTGGAAAGGTGTTTTTTTTTTTTTTTTTCCCTCATGATCCTAGAAAACGGGGAACTTTAGACACGTCTTTTTATCGTGGTTTTGCAAAAGGTTTTTTAAAAGTCCTCATGACTTGCTTTTTTTATAGAACTCAGATTTTGATGGAAGAATTGTGCCTAGTCTGAGGGCTAAACTACTTTTTACATAACTCATATTTCTTAGGTGACTGTTGTATGCCAGAATTTCTCTTAAAAAACAGAGATGAATTATTTTTAATATTAAAATATATATTAATTTATTATTTTTATTTTTATTTTTTAGAATATTACATGCTAGAGTTTTAGAGTATTGCTCCCCAACACATGGATTTTCATATGAAAATGTAAGGATCCTGGTTCCTGAATCTGGCTCTCTTTCTTAAAAGGACACAGTCAGCCTGGCTGGTGTGGCTCAGTGGTTGAGGGATCTTTGAACCAGGAGGTCACAGTTTAATTCCTGGTCAGGGCACATACCCAGGTTGTGGGCTCGATCCCCAGTAGGGGGCGTGCAGGAGGCAGCCGGTCAATGATTCTCCCTTATCATTGATGTTTATAACTCTCTTTCCCTCTCCCTTCCTCTCTCTGAAATCAATCAAAACATATATATATTTTTTTAAAAAGGACAGTCAGATTGGAGAAGGGCCCACCCTAGTTACCTAACTTGAACTTAGTTACCTCTTTAAAGACCTGTCTCCAAATTCTGTCCCATCCTGATGGACTGGGAATGAAGGCTTCACCCTGTGGGTATTGGGGGATGCAGTTCAGCCCATGACACACCACAATGGCCCAGCTGCAGCCACAGCTGTGTCCTGGCCATTGGGAGTGAGGCTGCGGTGAACGCTGAGGCGCACGCACTGCTTGGAGACAGTGCTTTCGTTTCCTTCGGGTGAGTGCCCGGCAGTGGACCTGCTGGGTCACGTGGCAGCTCCATAGCCTTCATTCTTTGGGGAGCTTCTGTACTGCTTCCCACAGGGGCTGCACCAACAGGGCACAGGGTTCCCTCCCCTGCCCACCCCACTCTCGCCAGCACTCCCCCCTGGCCTTTCTGAGGATAGAGTTCTGACAGTTGTACCTCATTGCGGTTCTGATTGCGTTTCCCTGGCGATGAGTGAGGTTGAGTGTCTTTTCATGTGCTTGTTGGCCATCTGTGTGTCTTCTTTGGGGAAATGTGTACTCAGATGTTTTGCCCATTTTGTAATTAGATTATTTGGTGTTTTCTTTTGCCATTGAGTTGTATGCGCTTCATACATATTTTGGATGCTGACCCCCTTACCAGATGTGTGATGTGCAAATAGCATCTCTCATTCCCTAGGCTGCCTCTGCTGTGCAGAAGCGTCTGTGTTTGAGGGTGCTTCTGCTGCCTCTCTCTGACACCCTCAACGCTCCTCTTCCTGTGTGTTCACAGACGGCCCTCCCATCACAGACTACACGGTCCTCAATGTCACCAGCAGCAGCTTTCAGGTGTCCTGGGGCTTCCATTCCACTCGGAGCCGCACCTTCCATGTGCAGGTTTCCAGGGGCGAGGAGCCGCTCAGGAGCGCCAGGACCCAGGCGACGGCCCTGGAGGTGACGGGGCTGGAGGCCGGGGTGCTGTATGGGGTGAAGACCAGCTACCAGGCGTGCGGGACCAACGTCACCGCCACGCTGACTGTCAGAACCGGTGAGGTGCTTGTCCGAACACGTGTGTTTCCTGTGAGCTGAGCTGGTCTTTCTATCCTGATTCTGTTGGCCCCAAAAGTTTAAACTTCTTATGACCAGGCAGGGGCGGGCATGGGCTTGGCCCCATCGTCCTAGGGTCCTCTGAGCAATGTCTGGGGTCCTGGCCATCACGGGCTCCCTTGCTCCCCTCACTGCGTCCTGCAGGCATTGGAAGACCTTCGGTGACACTGAACCCCTCAGGCTGCGTGTGTATAACTTCCCCAAACCAGGGCCTGTGTGCTACCCAAAACCTGCAGGAAGGGCACCTCGTTTCCCACACGGGGCACCTGACCAGGGCATGCCCCGCCTGCTGTGTCAGCGCCAGGGGAGAACTTTCCCCCAGACAAACAGGTAGAAACGAACCGGGGATTCTGGCGTCCGGAAGGCAGCTGGCGTGGCCACACAACTCCGCCAGGTGGCTGACTTTTGCCTTGCCCCGTGGTCCGAGCCCCCCCGCCCCCCCTTTGCCTGGTCATGGTGGTACTTGGGTGGTAAAAATATAATATTATATATATATATAATTAATTTTTTACAGAGAGGAAGGGAGAGGGATAGAGAGCTAGAAACATCAATCAGCTGCCTCCTGCACACTCCCTACTGGGGATGTGCCCACAACCAAGGTACATGCCCTTAACAGGGATCGAACCTGGAACCCTTCACTCCACAGGCCGACACTCTATCCACTGAGCCAAACCAGTTAGAGCGATCTTTTTTTTTTTTTTTTTTTTTTAATTTCTCTCAAAGCATAGGCTTTATGAAAAACATTGGCAGAAACCTGTGTGATGCTGGCTCCCTGGGCTTCAGCTAACATGCACGATTGTCTGTCGCAGAGGCCCGTGTGTTCGGCATCACAGTGAGGATCCTGGACCGCAACATGACGGAGCCGCTGCTGGACCGAGGCAGCCCTGAGCACCGGGACTTCTCCCGGCAGCTGCTCCAGGAGGTAAAGCCGAGGAGGGCTGTGGCGAGCTGTCCCTGCTGCTCCGAGCGAGGGGCCCACCTAAGCCATTACTCAAATACTCCCCTTCCTCGTTTATGGGGGGGGGCTTAACCTAGATGTGGGGCCACACCGTCTTGGAAATACATGTTTTGGATTCAAATGGTCTACCCCAGTTGTCGGCAAACTCATTGGTCAACAGAGCCAAATACCAACAGGACAACGATTGAAATTTCTTCGGAGAGCCACATTTTTTAAACTTAAACTTCTTCTAACGCCAGTTCTTCAACATAGACTCGCCCAGGCCGTGGTGTTTTGCGGAAGAGCCACACTCAAGGGGCCAAAGAGCCACATGTGGCTCTGGAGCCGCAGTTTGCCGACCACGGATCTACCCCAGTGGATCCTACGGCTGGGTTTCCTGTCGAGCTTCCTCCCTGGGATCTGAGGGCTCTGGATTCCCACTTCGGGGCGGCTTCATGAGAAAGGCTAAGCAGGATCAGGCATCCATCCCCTGTGGCTGAGGGGGACATTGGCACCGGCCTGGGAGGACCAAGGAAAAAGTGACTCAGAAACAGCCAGGAACCACGAAAGGTCTAAGACGTTACCCTTTCTGCAAACTAATACGCCAGCCTCTTCCTTTGCTGGGCGCTGGCCGAAGACACGAGGGGCCTGGGTTAGAGACACAGGGCTTTGTCGGGCACAGCAGGTGGCATGAGAATCCAACTGGGCCAGTCCCCCCTCTGCCCTCGCGTCCCACAGAGATGACTCAGAGGGGTCCAGGTGGGTGATGCACGCAGTAGGTCTGCATCCCAGCAGGGATCCCCAAGCTTGAGGAACCCGGACCTTTGTACTGGGCTGTGAGCAAACCCGACTAAACCTTCCTCCGTTAGGAGCCATTGCCTGGATTCTCAGACAGGGAGCACAACTGCCCTTGGCGCCGTGATCTCTCCCCTCGGGCTGGTCATCATACAAACGTCTCAGAATGATATTCGGGAACAAAACGGCAGTTCTGGCTTCTGCTTGCAAACTGTGTTGAAGTTCGAGAGACCGGAGGAGGGTGTTTCTCCACAGTCACCTACAGGGAAAATGTTTTTAGGCCAATGGGATTCACGTGTGTGCGGGAATGGTGTGGCAGGAACACAGGGAGGGGGCAGAGGGGTGGACAGGGTGGACTCTGAGCCCCTGGCTCTGCCCGGGTGTGTCCTGGGGGAGACAGCTCTGTAAGGGGGGGACAGTGCCAAACAGCCATGAGATTATTCCGTGGCAGCCCCCTTGGCCAGTCAGTCCATCATTAGTCAGTCCATCCATCAGTCAGCCCATCCATCATCAGTCAGTTTATCCATCAGTCAGTCCACCCATCAGTCAGTCCATCATCAGTCAGTTTATCCATCAGTCAGTCCACCCATCAGTCAGTCCACCCATCAGTCAGTCCATCATCAGTCAGCCCATCCATCAGTCAGTCCACCCATCAGCCAGTCCATCATCAATCAGTTTATCCATCAGTCAGTCTATCATCAGTCAGCCCATCCATCAGTCAGTCCATCATCAGTCAGTCCACCCATCAGTCAATCCAACATCAGTCAATCCATCCATCAGTCAGCCCATCCATCAGTCAGCCCATCCATCATCAGTCAGTTTATCCATCAGTCAGTCCACCCATCAGTCAGTCCATCATCAGTCAGCCCATCCATCAGTCAGTCCATCATCAGTCAGTCCACCCATCAGTCAATCCATCATCAGTCAACCCATCCATCAGTCAGCCCATCCATCAGTCAGCCCATCCATCAGTCAGTCGGCAGTCCCTTGTCTCTCTCACACAATCTGCCTTCACAGCGATGTTCTGGGCACCCAGAGGGCACCACATCTCTCTGCTCCATGACAGAGAGCCTGACTCTAGAGTCACTGCCCGTGCTCACCAACGCCCGGCACGCTGTCCCAGGGCAGGCCCGGGGGGGTGCAGCGAGCTGGGGCACATTTGTTTGCCCCAAGAGGTTGGCTCCGGTGCCTCTTCAGGGGACACCCGGTCCTGGGCCCCGTCTGCAGCCACACAGGGGCCCTGAGTGGCGCGTTAGAGGTGCGGATGGAAAACGGGCTCTCACAGGCCGTACCTCTCCCCGCCAGGTGGAGAGCGCCTTCCCGCCGGCGGTGTTGGACCTGTGCAGGCGGGGGAAGCTGCGGCTGCAGATCGAGTCCCTCCAGGCCGGCAGCCTGGTGGTGAAGCTCAGAGTGACGGTGCAGGACCCCGAGTTCCCAGTGGGGGTCTCCACGCTGGCCCCCATGCTCCCGCGGCTGTGGGCCAGCAGAGTGTTCCAGATCGACCCGAGGGGGACGCTGGTGCAAGGTAGGCGGGAGAGGCCACGGGCTGCTCCGCTGGCTGCAGGCCTGCCTTCTGCCTCCGGCCAAACAGCGCCTGGCCTTGGGTGTAACACAGGCCGATAGAGCCGTGCCGCCTCCCGGGGGGGCCTGCTGCTGAGCCGGGGGAGCGAGGGGGAGGGGAGGCACTAAAAATAGCCGCCAGGTGCCCTGCAGTTGGAGCCAGATCTCCACTGGGACCTTGAGCAGCTGGGCCCTGCTGCTGGGCCAGCCTGGGCTCCGGTCAGGCCTCCGCCCCCAGCACCCCGGCGCTGCCTGCAGGCTGGTCACCAGGCAGGGTTCCGGAACATCTGGGGGCCGGGCCAGCAGGGCCCTGTCTGCAAAAGAGCCCAGGCAAGGGGTGTGTGTGAGGTGTGTGGGTGTGTATGGTATGTGGTGTGTGTGTGTATGTGTATGTGTGTGTATGGTATGTGTGTGGTGTGTGTGTGTGGGGGGGATGTGTGTGTGGTGTGTGGGATGTGTGTATGGTATGTGTAGTGTGTGTGGTGTGTGTATCTGTGTGAGGTGTGGGGTGTGTGGTGTGTGTAGTATGTGTGTGTATGTGTGGTGTGTGGTGTGTGTGTGTAAATGGTGGTGGTGGTGGTGGTGGTGGTGTGTGTGTGTGTAGTGAGTGATGTGTGTTTGTGTGTGGGGGTGTGGGATGTGTGAGTGGTGTGTGTAGTGTGTGTGGTGTGTGTATGTGTATGAGGTGTGGGTGTGTGTGGTATGTGTGTGTATGTGTGGTATGTGGTGTGTATGTGTGAATGGTGGTGGTGGTGGTGGTGGTGGTGGTGTGTGTGTGTGTGTGTGTGTAAAATGAGTGATGTGTGTGGGGGGGGTATGGGATGTGTGTGTGGTATGTGTGTGTATGTGTGGTGTGTGTGTGTGAATGGTGGTGGTGGTGGTGGTGGTGTGTGTGTGTGTGTGTGTAATGAGTGATGTGTGGGGGGGGGGAGGGGATGTGTGTGTGGTGTGTGTATTAAGTGTTGCATCAGCTGGCAAGTGACTGCTGGTCTGCACGGAGCTACTTCCGTGAAGATCACATGAAAAAAAAACAAAAACGAAAACCACAATGTGGCCCCTGAGCATCAGCTGCAGTTTCTCTGCACAAAACTGACCTCGTCCCTTATCTTGTCCTGACCCCAGCCCCGCCGGCTCCCCTGGCACCCTGGCACGATTGGGCACTGCCCAGGCTCAGGGAGGCGTGTGCAGAGGCCTCGCAGCCCACCCCGCCCGGGATCCAGCCCCTCTCGGGGCCCTAGCGTGCCCTGCCAGCGAGGTGACTCCGCCTGGAGCCACTTGTCCCCTGAGGGGAGGGGGCCGGGCAGGTAGTGGCCCAGAGAGCTGGGTGGGTGGAAGGGTGGAGTTCTGGGGGTGGGAAACTACCCCCAGACCCTTTTCCCCCACCCCCAGCCTGGAAGCCAGTTGAGATATTCATTGCTTGAGGCTTATTGTGCTGACTGCACGTAGTCCTTTACTGATGGGCCGTGTGTCCAACGCACGAGACCATCAGTTCTTTCCTAGGGCAGGCCCGGAAGTGCGGGCGGAGGGCCAGGGAGTCCGGGGGAGGGGCGTGGAGAGGGGGGAGAAAGAAGGGAATAGTGTTCCTGGTGAGTTTTGTTTCTCACTTCAGCCTGATGCCAGTCCTGGCTGCGGCCGATTGGGAAAGGAATCGTGGGTGTGGTGGGTGAGCCAGGGCCGGGGCCACAGGGGTGTCCACAGAAACAGGGCTTACCTCACCTTTCCTTGCACAAACCAGAAGGCTCAGGGCTTCCCGGTGACATGCGGACTTTGAGAGTCACTTCCCAGAGGGGGCTCTCCAGGCCATTCCTGACCATGTCAAAGCAGCTCACGTTCTACTTCACTGGACATGGGGCTCAGCCGTTTCCCGATTTCCCTATGTCTCTCTTGAACACGAAGTGTTAGGGCATGTTGGCATGTTAGTGAGGTTTAGGTGTGGAACAAAGAATAAACAAGGGAGAAACGTATCCCATCCGTGGGTGTTAATACCTTAAACTCGTGGTTCTCAACCTTTCTAATGCCATTACCCTTTAATACAGTTCCTCCTATTGTGGTGACTCCCAACCATAAAATTATTTTCGTTAATTTACAGTTATGAAGTAGCAACGAAAATAATTTCATGGCTGAGGGTCACCACAACATGAAAAACTGTATTAAAGGATTGAGGCATTAGAAAGGCTGAGAACCACTGTCTTACACAGTAACCACCATCCCCTAATCTTTGCCCCGTTATCAGCCAGCCAACGGTGAGGGTCAGCGCATCTGACGCTTAGCCTGAGCCTTGGTTCAGGTGCAGCCTCTGGGGGAGGGTATGTGGTCTCCTTCCAAGGCTGCTGGACACCCGGGCCCTTCACTCACCCTGCCCTCAGCCTGCGGGCTATTTCCTGAAAGACAGTCAGGGAGGACCTGGCTCTGTTCCCATCCGCTTTCTGAGCAGCCTCTGGCCTTCCTCCTGGGCTCCGTCCCTCCCTCCCTCCCGCAGACTGGGACGAGTGTGCCGACAGCCTGGAGCACGACTGCTCGCCAGCCGCCCAGTGCATCAACCTCGAGGGCTCCTACACCTGCCGCTGCCTCACGGCCAAGGACGCCAACCCGGCCCGCGCTGGCCGGGCCTGCGTGGGTGAGTCCTCCACCCACCCCTTCCCCGGCGCTGGGCGGGCCCCACCCTGCGGACCTGGGTGTGGGGTAAGGCCCCCGTCCATCAGGCACAGGGTGGAGGGCTCCTCATACAGTTAAGAACCCACAGAACTGTCTTCATTTGTTTAAATCAAAGGAAAGGAATGAACATAATAATAGTGACTATCAGTAGTGAATCCTATCTTTATTTTTTTTATTTTATTTTATATTTTTATTGATTTTTTTACAGAGAGGAAGGGAGAGGGATAGAGAGCTAGAAACATCGATGAGAAATAAACATCCATCAGCTGCCTCGTGTACACCCCCCACTGGGGTTGTGCCCGCAACCAATGTACATGCCCTTGACCACAATCGAACCTGGGACCTCTCAGTCCACAGACTGATGCTCTATCCACCGAGCCAACCCGGTTTCGGCTCCTTTATTTTTATAATATGATGCTTAACCTTTCTGTGGAAGAACGGTCCACCCGTAGTCGGCCCGCCCCGGGTGGCCTGGAGCCCGAGGCTGGAGAAGCCCAGGCAAGTGCGGAGAAGGCCCCGGTGTGGGCCCCACACATCTGCCTTGAGTTTGGGGAGCCAGTTCTGATGGATTGGCTGGGGCACCTGCAGGCTGGGGGAGAAGCAGGAGGAGGCCCATATGAGTGCATGTGTTGTGATGGGCCGGCCGTGGGTGCCCTTGGCGCAGGTGGACCAGGGAGGGCTCGGCCACCTTTGCTGTCCAACTGAGGCCTCTGGCTGGGAGCACCGCCAAGGCCGTCGGCAGGAAGGAGCTCTGTTCCCTGCCCGCTGGGCGCCCAGTCCCACCTCCCCACACGGCAGAGCTTCCCTTCGCCGTCTTCTCAGCGGTGTGTCCAGGAGGCGGGCACCGGTGCCAGCGCCAAGCCTTGCCCAGAGCACACATCTGGGGAAATCACTCCGTTTCCCAAAGGCGGATGGATTCTTGGGCACTCGCAGGAACCAAGCCCTGCATCCAGGTCTGTGGTTCTCAACCTTCCTAATGCCGCTACCCTTTAACACAGCTCCTCCTGTGGTGGTGACGCCCCAACCATAAAACGATTTTCATTGCTACTTCATCACTGTAATTTTGCTACTGTTATGAATCGTAACGTAAATATCTGTGTTTTCCAATGGTCTTAGGTGACCCTGCTAGCGGTTCTCAATCTGTGGGTCTCAACCGCTGCTGTAGAGCCTAAGACCACGGGAAAACAGGGGCAAAATTACAGTGAAGAAGCAGCAACGAAAATCATGTTACCGTTGGGGGTCACCACCACGTGAGGAGCTGTATGGAAGGGTCGGGGCATTAGGAAGGTTGAGAACCACAGCTCCAGGTTCTGGCTCGACAACCCCTCTCCTCCCCCCCCCTCTCCCTGCCTGAGGAATGTGACGAAGGGGCACATCCCCCCGCTGTGTTGGGCCCCCAACACCCTGCTTTCGGCGCCCCAGCACCCTCGTGTACGAAGTGGAAAGGCGCCATCTTAAATAGTCCTGGTCACCCAGACAGCCCGTGGCCCCCCACTTGGAGTCCTCCTGGGGGTCACCAGTGGCCTCTGGGGCTTTGCTGAGATGTGTGTGGGCCAGACACCCCTCTGAGCGTGGCTGTGTCCCGCAGGTGACGTGGTGAGCTCCGTGGAAGGTGCGCCATCCCTGGCTACAAGGGTAACGGCCCCGGCTGTCGGCACGGAAACAACGGCCCCTGGCCTGGTGACCCCTGCCGTGTCACCCAGCCCCGGGCACGCGTGGGGCACCCCTGCCGCAGGCCAGGCCCAGACCCCAGGGCCCCCGCCCAGGAGAGGGGACGGCGGCGTGGTCGGGCAGGACAGGAACAACACAGGGCATGGCGTGGAGGAGGTGGCACCCAGTGAGGCCCCAGGTCCGGGGACGGCCAGCGGGGTTCCTGGGCCAACCCGCGGCTCCCTGCCCGGGCCCGGGGACGGCCTGTTGGAGGCGTCCGGATGGCCACTGAGAAACTCCACCGCAGAGCCGCACGCCCGGCCCAGCCCCGCCGGGGGCCCTGCTGGCCACGTGTGGCACACCAGCCTCCCCACACGGGGCACATCGCCTGTACCGCTGGGCCCTACGTGGCCACAGAGCACGGACCATGGACACTCCGGCTCCCCAGACCTGCCCTTGGCCTCCACCCCCACGTCTCTGAAGACCCCGGCCTGCGGTGAGTGCCCGAATGGTGTGTCCCAGGGGCACTGGGGACCACATGGTCAGCGCGAGTTCTGGTGGCTCAGGCCAGACAGCGGCCGGCTCTGGGCCTAGTGAGGACGAGAACTCGGTCTCCGTTTCCTCTCTAGGCCCTCCTCCTCCTTCCGAAGCCTCCCATGTGCCAACGTCTGGCATCAGGAGGAGACTGTGGGGCACATCCCCCAGCTGTGTAGGGCCCCCCACATGTCTGCACCTCCCCAGCCCCGCTGACCCCAGCAGCTCCATGTTATACATTCCTCGCAGAGGGCTGAGCCATCGCCAAGGCCCACGGGGGACGGCTCAGGAGCCAGGAGCCAGCCCTAGCAGGTGACGACCTGGCCGTGCTGCCTCCCTCGGGGCAGCCACGCTGGCACCACCGCGAACTCACGTGGCTGGCCCGGCTCTGGACGGCGTCCAAGGGGAAGTAGCTGTGCGATGCAGTTCCTCTGCTGAGCACGCAGCTTCCAAGACTAAGTTGTTAAGCCCGCGTAACCCAGTGCCGTCATGTCCCCGGGGGCCCCTGTAAAAAACGATTCTGCAATAAAAGTGGTGTCATATGCTAATTGGGCCAGATGTCCTTCCAGACGACCTTCTGGGCAAAGCCAGGGCTGTGAGAGAAGCCCGGATCCCCGGTGCCAGTGGCCACGATGCTGCCTTCTCGGAATGTCAGCCCAGGGGGTGAGGGGGATGAATTTGACCATCACTCCGCTATACCCACCAGCCAATCAGGAGCGAGTATGCAAATTAACAGGAAATTAACAGGAGCCGCCCACAACCTGTTCAAGAAGCCTTTGTTTTGAGAAGTCCGGGGACCTCAGAGGCAGACACCAAACCAGAGGCAGAGGGGTGCCATCTTCCCCTGAGGGTGTCTTACATCCCGAACGAGAGAACGGTGCATTTGATTTTAGCACCAGGGCGAGGCTTCTCCTTTCTCCTCTCCTCTCCTCTCCTCGGAGTTTGTTTTTAATCTCGGCGTTTCTATCCACCTCCCAGTTCCCGCCCCCATCGAGAGGGCCACTGTCTCCAATGTCACCAGCACCGGCTTTCACGTGGCGTGGGTGACAGACCTCACCCTGCGCCCCACGTTCCAGCTCACGCTGATGTCCACGCGGAGCCCCGCCGTGCACCTGGAGACCCAGAACACGAGTCTGCAGCTGTGGGGCCTGGAGCCCGGTGTCTTGCATCTGGTGGAGATAGTGGCCAAGGCATGTGGGGAAGAAAGCGCCAGGGCACGCCTGAAAGTGCGGACAGGTAACAGGGCTTCCGGAATGCTGGTGGCCACATGCTCCTTTAAAAAAAAAAAAAAAGAATATATATATATATATATATATATTGATTTTTTACAGAGAGGAAGGGAGAGGAATAGAGAGTTAGAAGCATCAATCAGATGCCTCCTGCACACTCCCCACTGGGGATGTGCCAGCAACCAAGGTAGGTGCCCTTGACTGGAATCAAACCTGGGACCCTTCAGTCTGCAGGCCGATGCTCTATCCACTGAGCAACACCAGTTTCTGTGCCACTTGCTCTTTAAGGGAGGGAAGGCGTATGAAAAAGCGTTTCCATGGGTTCAGGGTTGAAAGAGCTGCGTTTACTTGCAGGCTGCTGGGTTTCCATTTGCTTCTCAGCGTAGAAACATTCAGTTTATTTCATGCTCGGCATGGGACAGCCAGACAGAAGGTGGCTCATTTTGGGAAGAGGTGTTAGTGGTGGAGTTGCAAAGAGCTCCAGACTCTGCCACAAGGTGTGGACACTTGTCTACCTGTGCCCTTCATGTGGGCAGATGTGGGTGGTGCAGGTCTACTGAGCATCAGCCGTTCCTCCAGATACTCTCACTCTCACTCCCATTGGACCTGCATTTGGTTCAGGAGAAGGACAACGGACAGATGGACACAGTGGATCTGTGAATGGCCTCAGAGTAAAAGGGATGGGAATAGAATTGAGCAAATCACACACAGATTCAGATAAGCTACTGCTGATTGTTGACCATCTACACTAATAAAAGAGAAACATGCAAATTGACCATCACTCCGCCATATACTCACCAGCCAATCAGGAGCAAATATGCAAATTAACACAACAAAGATGGCAACCATGGAGCTGGAGCGAGCAGGAGGCTTGGGTTGACCCCGGTGATGGAGGAAGCCAAGCTTCCTGCCCGCCCTGGCTGGCCCTGGCCTCCACTCAAGACTACAAAGTTTCAATTATAAAAGATAAATAAACCCCAGATTCCTGCTTCTAGTTGGTCCTGGCCTCTGCTCAAGAAGGTGCTGAAAAAAATAACAAAAGAAATGGAGGGGCTGGGAGCTTGGGTTGCCAGGGTGTATGGCCATCCTACAAACAGCCACCAGCCCCTCACCCAGCCTGTCCAGGCACCGCAGCAGGGACCCCCACCCTGAGGGGGGTGTGGCCAGCCTGAAGACAGTCATTCTTCCTCACCTCTATAGCTGCAGGGGTGAGGAAGAACTGACTGTATCGGGACCTTTGGGCACTCTGTCCCGGGCACAGGGCTCTGAGCAGAGGTTTGGCAAGGCCATAGCACGTCACGTCTGGGTTTGCCAGGACAGTGGTGAGCACCTGAGGCCCTGGCACAGTGAACTAGGTACCTGCCTCCTTTCATGCTCAAAGCCGTCCCCACCTGCTGGTAAATTACCCGGACAGGCTGTGCGCAGGTGATGCCACAGGCAGGGAAGGGAGAGCCGCAGGGCCCGGCTCTTCCACGGCCTCCACATGTTCTCCCCTGGCCCCGGCTTCGTCCCGGGGTCCTCCAGTCTGGCGGGCCGCGTCTGGGAGTGCCGGGCGCTGTGCCTTCTTTGTAGAGCCCAAGTCAGTCTGGCTTGATGTTCTTCCCAGCCAACGTGAAAATACTGTGATTAAGTTAGAAGTGGCCTTGGCCAGTGTTTCTCAGTGGTTAGAGCGATAGCCCATGCATCAAAGGCTCACGGATTCAATTCCCGGGCAAGGGCACCTACCTGTGTTTCAAGTTCAATCCCCGCCCCAGTTGGGGCTCCTATAGGCAGCAACCAATTGATGTGTCTCTTTCATATCGATGTTTCTCTCTCACTCTCCCTCCCCCCATCTCTCTCTCTCTCTCTCTCTCCACTCCCCCCCTCTCTCTTTCTCTCTCGTCCTCCTTCTTTCTATCCTTCCCTCCCTCCCTTTTACTCTCTCTAAAAACCAATGGAAAACAATCCTTAGGCGAGGATTTAAAAAACACGTGGTCATCTGTTCGCTCACACACTCCTGTCTCATCCTGCAGCCGCCCAGAAGCTCAGCGGGAAGGTCAGAATAGCCAACGTCAGGTACTCCGAGTCCTTCCGCAACGCCAGCAGCGAGGAATCCCGGGATTTCCTGGAGATCTTCTTCAGGATGGTACGTCCGTGAGATCGTCCGTACTCCCTCTTGAGATGTGAAGGAGGGAGGCGGGTGGAAGTCTAGCTGCAGCCCGGCAGGATTCAGACCCTCTTTTCGGAAGGAGGCTGGGACTTCCGGCTCTGGCGTGGGGCCTGGGTGTCCCTGGGTCTGCCACACCTTGTCCTCCGCTGCCTCCTTGCCTCACACTGATTCCTGCTCAGTGCAGCATTAGCAAGGTGGGGCCCTGGGAGCAGAAAGCCCCTTCTGGCCTTAAAAATAACTTAAAATATATATATATATATTATTAATTTTTTACAGAGAGGAAAAAAGAGGAATAGAGAGTTAGAAACTTCTATGAGAGAGAATCATTGATCAGCTGCCTCCTGGGGATGTGCCGGCAACCAAGGTACATGCCCTTGACCGGAATCGAACCTGGGACTTTCCAGTCCACAGGCTGATGCTCTATCCACTGAGCCAAACCAGTTTCGGCTTTTTTTTTTTTTTTTTTTTTTGTGAGATCTGTTTCACACTCCACAGGATTCAGAGTTTTAAAGTGCACAATTCAGTAGTTTGTACTGTATTGTGTTCATAAGATTGTGCAACCATCACCACCTTCTAATTCCAGAACATTTCATCACCCACCCCAAACCCTACCCATTAATAATCACGTTCTATTCCCCCTTCTCGCTGCTCCTGGCAACCACGAATGTGCTTTCTGTCTCTGTGGACTTGCCTGTTCCGGACATTTCTCAGAAACAGAATCATGCAACATGTGATCTTTTGTGTCTGGGTTATGTCACTGGGCGCACTGTCTTCAAGGCTCACCCATGCTGTAGCACGTGCAGAACTTCATTCAGGAAACCGGCTCCTCTGAATGGCAGAAGGATATTCCATCGTGCGGATGGACCACATGCTGTCTACCCTTTCACTCACTGGTGGACATTTAGGTTGTTTTCGATTTTCACCTGAAACAATTATTTTCCTGCTCTTTCTAGCCTTTCCTCTGCCATCCCGTCAGCATCCTCGGGGTGGTATGTTACGCTTCAGTCGGGGCAGCTATCTCAATGTTATTATTTTTATTTTTATTTTTTAAATATATTTTTATTTATTTTGTACAGAGAGGAAGGGAGAGAGATAGAGAGTTAGAAACATCGATGAGAGAGAGTCATCGATCAGCTGCCTCCTGCACACCCCCCACTGGGGATATGCCCGCAACCGAGGTACATGCCCTTGACCGGAATCGAACCCGGGACCCTTCAGTCCCCAAGCCGACGCTCTATCCATTGAGCCAAACCGGTCCCGGCTCAATGTTATTTTTAATGGAGGTTAGACTTCCCTTTGGTGAACAGAGAACACACTTGTCATGACCTAGTGACTTACTGGCACAGGGGAAATCTCACGGATGCAGGCTTTTCCTTATTCTGGGCCCTTAGGATACAGAATAGCCAAAGGTTAGCAGCGTCATCTAGTGGTGGAGTGTGAAAACATGCCGGCTCCTCAGCAATGCTGGTGGCCTCACCTTTGATTGTGTTCAATCCTGTCGGCATCATTTAGTGATAAAACGGTCACACAGTCTCCAGGAACCGTCCCATTGAGGTTCCCCAGGACCTGGGCCTCCACATTATTTATCCTGGGACCCCCAGCTCCTGGTCCCGTGCGTGGATTCCGGAGCTGTTGGTGGTTTGATTCATTCACGTATCGATCCATCTGCTTTAGGTTAAAGATGAAGCAAATACTGAAATCAGTCCATATCACTCTACGAGTCACATGAGGGAGCTCCATTTCCACCCTGAGTTTCTTGATTTCCTCTCTAAACCGTTTCCTCATTTGTCTATTTTTGGGATATAATTTTTGTTTGTTAATTTAGAATTTCAGGATAGCAAATAAGTGTGCCACTTAGCACATGTGTAGGATTTTAAGACAAGTTTTGGGATGTTATGAGTCAATTCAAGGCAATTGTGGGTTACCTTGTTCTTTGTAACTGCCTAGCAAGGAGCCTGGAACTTGATTTGGAAAGCAATTGAAGGTGGCATTGATCCAAGACTGTGACAGCTCCTTCTTAGGAAGTTCCAGAAGAGCAAAAGAGACAGAGAGAGGGAGGGAGAAATAGATTATAGATTGGTAGCTAGCTAGCTAGATGATAGATAATAAATACATAGATGATAGGTAGATAGAAAGATAAATGGATAGATAGATAGATAGATAGATAGATAGCAGCTGACTGTTCAAATCATAAGAATGTCAGCCATATGACTGCAGGCAGCTCCTGGTCTCGGGCCTCTGCAGCCCCTGGTGGATGACATTAGATTGCTGAGGTTGACTGTCCCCAGGCTGGGAAGTGAATCCTGGGCTTGAGCGCCTCCTACAGGGCAGAGGCGGCAAGGCTTTCTCTGTGAGAGCAACTTCTGGAGGTGCACGTTCCATAGAAGGCTTCCATCACGTGGGCCCCTTAAAGCTCACCACCATGCCTTCCTGGGCATCTCAGTCACGATGGTCTGGACCGGAGCAATACCGCGTGTGGTGTCAGGTGCTGTCCAAAGTGATGGAATGAGAAACAGCTTTCAGAGGCAGGAACAGCCTGCCCCACAGGGTGCTCCCGGGAAGCAGTTTTAGGGAAGGTGGGGAAGAGGGTTTGAGGGGAAATGTGTCCTATCAGGAGCAAAAGGGTTATTCTAGGAAAAACCAAGTGAGGGAGCACTCATCCAGGGCCCCGCCCCCAAGCTCTGAGCGGAGGGGGGCCGATCCCAGGTGCCACTGCGAGTCCCCTACCACGTGAGAAGCCCTGGGGTAGGGCTTCTGCCCTCAGCCCCATGCGGACCGCTAGCTGGTCAGGGGCAAACAGGGCTCTCCTCAGAGCTCAGACCCAGGGCACCGGGACTGGGCCGGGCCCCCCCTGCGGCGTGTCCTGCTGCCGCCTGCGGTCCCAGGAGGACTTCTTTCCACCGGCTCCGTGTCCCCGCAGGTGCGGGAGTCCCTGCCGCCCGCCATGCGCCAGCACCTGGACGCGGGCGGGGTGCGGCTGGAGGTGACCCGCCTCGCCAATGGCAGCGTCGTGGTGGAGTTCGGCCTGCTGATCGTCGCCGACCTGGAGGCCCAGGCGGTGTCCGCCGCGTTCCTCGCCGCCTTCCAGAACACCTCTCTGCTGGAGGTGGTCGCAGGGGACACCTTCATCTGGGGTAAGTGCTGGTCTGGCCGGAGGGGGACTCCTCTGGGCTGGACCGCGGGGCAGCCGGCGCCCAGCTACTGCCTTTGTTTCCGAAAGACGTCGCTCCACGTGCTCCCTCTTCAGGGCCCCGGGCATTAGATGGAAATGGGAAGCAGGATGTTCCTCTCGCTTTTTGCTTCTATGTTGTTGTTGTTTATGTTTATGACTTAAGGGTTGAGAACAGCTTTCCCCCCCAACCCCCATGAACCTGGTGGCAGGCTGTGTCCCACCCCCGCCCCTGCCCCTGCCCCTCCTCCACTGCCCATTTCCATGGGCCCAGGGCAGACGGTCCCTCCCTGTAGCCAGACTTCCTCCAGAGCACGGTTGCCAAGGAGACCTTAGAGAAAATCATTGAAAAGTAGGGAGAAAGGACAACCTCGACACTATCCTCAGATCGTCTCAGTCAGCTCGAGCTGTCGCAATAAAACCCGGCAGAGGGGGCTCACAGCGGACGCTGGCGGCCAGGAGTCCAGGATCAGGGTGCCGGCCAGCCTGGTTTCTGATGAGGGGCCATGTGTCCCCAGAAGGCGAGCCCCGTGGTGTCTCCTCAGATCAGGACACCGTTCCCCCCAGATCAGGACCGCCCCTCAATGACCCCTCTAACCTGAATCACCCCTAAGGGGTGGGGGCGGGGGTTAGGGCTTCGACAGGTGCACGCTCAGGGCCCAGTTCCGTCCACAGCACATGTCCTACTTGAAAACCGTGACAGAGGGCTCCGTGACCCGTGTAACAAATCAAAGGCAACACAGACGACTGTTTCTCTGAATCTGTGGAGTAAGACATGTTTTCCAAGTTGGAAAGCAGAAGGAAAACAAGCCCAGGGAAGAGAAGGCTGGGATATCTGATTCCATGAAAAGGCAAACCTTTTATGTCACACAAAGGAAAGGCGCCCTTATAAAACAAGCAACAAAACAAAGTACAATTTTAATAATTCGATGAAGAATTAAACCCTAAATAGAGATCACACGCATTGATCATATCCATTTTGTTCTGTAGACCTGCGTGGCTGTTAGTAAGTGAAGTATTAATAGCTGAGCATAGAAACTGAGAGCAGGTGAGGGCCCGAGGCCCAGGGCTGTCTTGTTTTGGGGCTCCTCTGCCTGAGACCAGGGCTTGGGTGGGGCCTGCTCACCTCCTGGCTGCTCTGGTGTGACACTGCTTTGCCCAGTGCCCCCTCCCCCACTTGCCTCCCCCCTCGCTGCAGCCCGGAACCAAGGATTCTTCCAGAACAGCCCCTGCAGCCCGCTGACACCTGCCCCATCCCACCCCTGTCTGCAGAACTGCCCAGAACTGATCACTTTGATGGTTTTTAACTCTCTCTGGGGTGTGCTTTCCACGGGGCTGTCTGTAAACAGCCGGCAGGGTGCCCTCAAGCCCCTGAGAATTCTGTTTGTTCCCTAAATGCCGCCCAGACTTCGATGAGTGTGAGAGGAGGGAGGACGACTGCGAACCCGGCACCGCCTGTCGCAACACGCTTGGCTCTTTCACTTGCAGCTGTGGGGGAGCTGCCCCAGCCTTCCCTGTGGAATTTTCTGGAAGGCCCTGTGAAGGTAATGCCCTCCCGGTCCCTTTTCTGGAATACTGTCCATGATCTGTCCTGTTCAAAGGAACAGTGCCTCTTTTCCAAATGAGGTCGGCCTATTTTATATCCTGGGCAAGTTTTCTGTTAGTGTGTGTGTGTGTGTGTGTGTGTGTGTGTGTGTGTGGGCATGCAGGCACACACACATGTAACCCATGTGAGTGTGTATGAGTACATGTGTGTGATGTTGTCCCTTCACATTCTCTCATATGTCTCCAGCCTTCTCGGTGGTGCCTCATATCCCCAAATGATTCCTCTGATGACTGAGATGAGAAAACACACTCAGAACTGAGGTGTGTCTTCTTGCAAAACGTATAACCCCGTGGTCTGCAAACTGCGGCTTGCGAGTCACATGCGGCTCTTTGGCCCCTTGAGTGTGGCTCTTCCACAAAATACCACGGCCTGGGCAAGTCTATGTTGAAGAAGCTTAAGTTAAAAAAGCTTGGCTCTCCAAAGAAATTTCAATCATGGTACTGTTGATATTGGGCTCTGTGGACTAGTGAGTTTGCCAACCACTGGGCTAGCCCATGACACAAGTACCATGTGTGAGACATTTCTCCTCAGCCCCTGTCTCCACTCAGCACTTTCCCATCCAGAGGGGCTGTGGTGAACTCAGCACTGACTCCGAGGTGACGGCTGCCATGCAGCGGCCTGTGTCCAGTGGAGGGAGACAGACGTTCATACGGGTAAACACAGTGTCACAGGGACTGTGGAACGTGCTCTGCGTGAAGCAGAAGCAGGAGGCCCAGAGGAGACCAAGTTGTTTCAGCCCCATGTGCGTGGTCAGGGAGGGCTTCCTGGAAGAGGTGCCTCAGAGCTGGTCTCAAAGGCTGGCTAAGATAAGCGCTGGGCAGAGGGGGCTGTGGTGGGGCAGGCCACGGCGGGTGGGGGCAGCGGTGAGAACAGAGCTGTTTGAGGTGGGCATGTCCAGGCATGCAGAGGGGCTAGCTTCGAAGTGGGGCCCTGCAGGAGATAGGGGGGGAGGGAGAGAGGAAAGCAGGCTGCCAAGAGAAGTGGGGGAGGCCAGTTGGGAAGGCTGCACACGCCAGGAGCAGTGATTTGGACGTCATGCTGAGGGCAGCGAGAGCCCAGTGAGGCAGCAGAGAGATGGGTGAGATCCCCTTCCCCCCACCTCCACCTGAGACAAGAAATGGCAGGTGCAAAGGTAGCAGGCAATGGGGCCGGGCTGGAGAGGAGGGCCCAGGGGACAAGCTGAGATGCGTCTTGGGTAAGGTGACCAGATTTTAACATTAGTAAAGCAGGACACTATTGACTGGAGGGGGTGGGGGGGTTCTAGGTTAAAAATTTGGTCTATTGGAGCAACAAAAATTTTCATAAAATGCAAAATAGTATTGTAATATATATATATTTTTAAATTTCAACAGAAGTACAATTTACAAATATAATAAATTAAAAAATTATGTATAGTGGTGTCACTTTCAAGGCCAGCACTAGACTTTTTCCTGCTACTATAAAATATAAGCAATATGAGTACTGTCTGCTAAATTCAAGAAAATTTATGTATTTATGAAATAAATAAATAAATTACTTACCTAAATTATCTGAATAGTTGATTTGTAATGACATCACTTGTTTCACTAGCTTACTAGCACGCAGTACGATGTGTATCGTCTGAGAGACAGTTACAAAATGTTTTCATCGTTGCCAATCCCCAAAAATGCCATTGTTCATTAAGTCCAAACAATGGTGGTCGAATTCTAACAGCTGATCAACAATGAGAACTTTGATAAGCAGTTCTCAATAATTAGTTCTCAGCAATTATTTGTTATTATTAAAGTTTAACATTATAAAATTAGCAAAAATAATATAAAACTCATATCCTCGCTAAATAGCCACATGGCCGCCGAAAACCGTATATTCCCTTCCCGTTCTCCCACTGTTCCCTAGCTTGTCGTGCATTCTTTCCAAAAATCGGGACTTTTTAAAATCGGGATTCGGGACAAATTGTTAAAAATCGGGACTGTCCCGCCATAAGTGGGACGTCTGGTCACCTTATTTTAAGGAGCCACTTATCTTTCCAGAGGGCAAAACCAATGTGCTTGGGGGAAGCGGGGAGCTGGAGCAGGAGTGAGGGACTCAAGGATCCGGAGATTAACTCATCTCAGAGCCAGGACTCGGGGGCTCCCGAGGGTAGACGGCTTGTCCCAAGTCCACAGGCTTGGCACATGCCCAGCCAGAGCCTGGGAGAGACTGGGAGGGCAGGAGGCCCCTCCATTCCCCGGCCCACGGGGCCCAGGGGGAGCCAAGCCCTGCCCAGCCATCTGGGCTGGCAGAAACGTGCAGCACATGTGTGCCTGTGTGTGTGTGTGTGTGTGTGTGTGTGTGCGTGTGTGTGTGTGCATGTGTGTGTGTGTGCGGCCGTGGCTGGAAGGTGCAGTTCCCAGGTGTGAGCTGCAGGTGCAGGGGCTCCCGTGGGCTCTGCACCTCAGAGCCAGCTTCACAGTGAAGCTCACACCACAGTCCCCAAACGCAGACCCACCTGCCGCTTATCTCCTGTGCCCTGTAGGTGACTCCTCCGATAACATGACCCAGGCACCCGGGTCTTCCCGGGGCCCCGGCCCAGAGCAGCCCCCCACCCCGGCAGCAACCAGGGCTGCCTCCGTGCAAGGGGCCAGCCCCGGCCCCCCGGAGCCGCCCCCGCGGCTGAACCTGACGGGGGCGGTCAGGGTGCTCTGTGAGATCGAGAAGGTGGCCATCGCCGTGGAGCGGCGCTTCCTGCAGCAGGAGGCCATCCCCGAGGCCTCCCTGTACCTGGGCCAGCCGTCCTGCAACGTGAGCGACAGTAACAGCACGCACGTGTTCCTGGTGGCCGCGTGGAGTGAGTGCGGCACCCTCGTGCAGAGCGTGAGTCCCGGGGCGGGGGTGTCCGAGCTCTCTGGACCTCGATACGGGGGGGGGGGGGGGGGAGGCCCGCCTGACCTGGGCCCAGGAGATCCTCTGTACCCGGGGATCCTGCCTCTGAGTGAGCGCCCTGCCACAGAGCCAGGAGAGGGCCGGGCTCTCACTGCAGACCGGGCTGCCCTCCGAACCAGGAGGCACCTGGGAGCCCCACCCCGCAAGGATTCCGGTGCAAAGGGCCTGGGGCACGTGTGAGATCAGGGTTCAAAACAGCCTCTGGTGAGTCTGATGCACAGGCAGAGCCAGTGGGGAGGAAGACGGGGAGGGACGCTGGAGCCTATGTGTGCACGTAAGCGTCCTTGTGTGCATGTGAGCATCCATGTGTGCACGTAAGCGTCCTTGTGTGCATGTGAGCGTCCATGTGTGCACGTGAGCGTCCATGTGTGCGCGTGAGCGTCCATGAGTGTGCATGAGCGTCCATGAGTGAGAATATGTATGTGTGTATGTGTGCATATGTGAATGTGTGTGTAGCTATGGTTGTGTGAGTGTGTGTGTGTGAATGTGTGAATGTGTGTGTAGTTATGGTTGTGTGTGTGTGAATTTATGTGTAGCTATGGTTATGTGTATGTGCGCATGTATGTGTAGCTATGGTTGTGTGCGTGTGTGAATGTGTGTGTAGCTATGGTTGTATGGGTGTGTGCATATGTGAATGTGTGTATAGCTATGGTTGTATGTGTGTGTGTGTGAATGTGTGTGTAGCTATGGTTGTATGTGTGTGTGAATGTGGGTGTAGCTATGGTTATGTGTGTGTGTGAATGTGTGTGTAGTTATGGTTGTGTGTGTGTGTGAATGTATGTGTAGCTATGGTTGTGTGTGTGTGTGAATGTGTGTGTAGCTATGGTTGTATGGGTGTGTGCATGTGTGAATGTGTGTGTAGCTATGGTTGTGTGTGTGTGTGTGTGTGTGTGTGTGTGAATGTGTGTGTAGCTATGGTTGTGTGTGTGTGTGTGTGTGTGTGTGTGTGTGAATGTGAGTGTAGCTATGGTTGTGTGTATGTGTGCATGTGTGAATGTGTGTGTAGCTATGGTTGTATGTGTGTGTGTGTGAATGTGTGTGTAGCTATGGTTGTGTGTGTGTGTGTGTGAATGTGTGTGTAGCTATGGTTATGTGTGTGTGTGAATGTGTGTGTAGCTATGGTTGTGTGTATGTGTGCATGTGTGAATGTGTGTGTAGCTATGGCTGAGTGGATGCAGGCATGTGTTGGAGGCTCTGCCATGGGCAGAGCTGTCCAGCTCCTGCGAGCAATGTTCGCGCAGGCTGTTCCCCAGTGGGTCTGCCTCTGTGGTGGGCGAGGGGCCCGAGTCAAGGCTGTCCTGTCGGCTCGCTCCCTCTGCCTTTCTGAGCGGGGCAAACACCTGCTAGGCAGTTATACCCCCTGGGTCAGGCCCAGTCAGAGCAGAGGGAAATTCGTCTCTGATGAGTCATGCAGGCCCTGGAATCCACACAAGATCTCCATGTGCTTTGATGTTTGTCAAAAGCTCAGTTTGCCTTGAAGACATTTGTACAAACATGATGGATTACACTCAGCAGGTTCCACCTGCCTTTTTATTTTTATTAAGCGGTTTACATTTTACTGACTCCTCCCAGGTTAAAAGAAAAAAAGATCCCAGCCCTAGCTGGGTTGGCTCAGTGGACAGAGCGCCTGCCAGCAGACTGGAAGGTCCCGGGTTTGATTCTGGTCAAGGGCATATACCTTGGTTGCAGGCTCCTTCCCAGCTCAGGCCCTGGTCAGGGTGTGTGCAGGAGGCAACCAATTGGTGTGTTTCTCTCACATCGATACTTCTCTCTGTCTTTCCCTCTCTCTTCCACTCTCTCTAAAAAAATCAATAGAAAAATATCCTAGGGTGAGGTTTAAAAAAAGAAAAAAGAAAAAGGTCACATTTCTCTGTTTGATATTACTATAAACAGGTCATGCAGCTATGACTATGAAGAGACACAAATTCACCCATGCCCCTAAAAGACTCGTTGGAGTACAGAATCATCTTCCTAAATACATGTAAGATTCTTGCAGAGTTAGTAGGGGACTTCCCTATTTTTCCTGAGATATTTTGCAAAATGCTGCAAGGCACAAAACCATCACCATTGTGAAGATTCATCCCAGACCTTGTCCTCCCTGTACCTGGTGACTCTCCTCCCGCCCATCAAAGACTTGGCCTCGGGACTGAGATCAAACTAAGAGGAACAGGAGTTTGTTTGGCTGAACCCCCTGGGGCCTGTAAGCATCTCGCAGACAATTCCTCCCACATACGGAGCTATAGACACAGGCCTTTTTCAAAGAGATCAACACAAAAGATTGGCACAAATTCAAAAGCAACGAAAGGCTTCCGGGAGGGACCCATCCGCTGAGAACTGTACACATTTGTCCCTGGAAGCCAGTGCATCCTAGTCACCCTTAAGGAAAATGAATTCTGAACATGAAGCTGGTTTTCAAGAATCCAGATTTTGCTGATTATATAAAATCCTAAAGCAAGTCCAATAGCTATCGAAGATATGCTAGTGGCTCTGATGTATATGACGTCACCAAAGTTTGTCCAGGCCTGTTTCATACACAGCAAAAGTTCATTCGTCCTATAATTGTGTGTCCAATAGCAACGGAGGAGCTGCAGAAGGGAAGGAGACTTCTCTTCAGTGGCTCCCTCTTCAGAACCTTTGAAAGCTGCCCTTTCTCCTCACACTCCGTAAGCCTTGCCCCTACAGCGTTCTGCTCTTAAACTCTCTCACGCTGGGGCCTGGCTGGCCACTGGACTTCTTATCTCTCAGATTCATGGGTCTCATTAGTCCTGTGAGCCTGGGAACTTTTATTTTCAGCAAACGCTGCCCTGACAGCCCTATCGGGGTCAGACGTTGTGTCTTACAGGGCACAGCCAGCCTCGCTCGTGCCTCCTCTGAGAAGTCCAGCTTCTGCTGTTCTTGGCTTGTGTTTCCAACAACTCTCATGGAACTTCTTCCCTGTCCTCCGGGTTCAAAACACCCCACCCCTCATTTCCTCCTCTGCCGACGGTTCTGACTTACTGACTTCACACATCTCCCTTGTCTAGTTCTAAACCCGTGAGGCCCGTGAGCTACCCGCAGAGCGGTGCCCACCGTGAACTGCCCTCGGGCTGCTGGTCACCACGGCAGGTGGCCAGCTGCCCTCCGAGGCCCTGTGCTCTGTGCTGGTGACAATATAGGGGTGTCAGTGAGGGGGCACGGGAGATCTACCACCGTGACAGTCAGGCTCCAGGCCTCGAGCCAGCAGAGTGCTTCAAACAAATAGTTAGAACTTCAGGTATTTTGTCCAAAGCAGACTTCAGCGTAATGATGGCACCCACTTTCCCTCCTCCTCCCCCTCAGGGCCTCCGTCTGGTTTCCCTGTCTCGCTGCAGCCTCTTAGCAAAGCCCATTCCCAGCCCTGCTGTCCACAATCGCCTACTCTTTCTGCTCAACCTGCACATGCCAGCAACCAGGCCGGAACCCCAGCAGACCTGGGAACATGCCTCTATGTGCTTGAAGCCAATGTCTCCACGCCTTTGTTTATGGTAGAACAGGGGTGGGGAACTTCCGTATAAGACCCGAGAAATCTTTCGTTCTGGCCCTGCCAAGGCAGTAGGAGTGAGGGAATAAATGTTCGACCCCATAGAGCAGGCTAATCTTTAGCTGGGTCCTTTCCTATGGCCCTGAAATGACGTGATAAATACCCAGATGGCCCTTGGCAGAGGGAAGGCTGCCACCCCTGGTCACGTCATTAACACCGACAGGCTTAGCATTGTCCCCGGAGATCAGGCCCCCAGTTTAGCCGTGTTGTCACTGCAAATCCTCATCCTAATCAGAATCACCCCTACTGAGGTCCTGATGGGGCCCAGTTCTCTCCTTCCATTTCTCTTCTGGGTCTTGGCTCCGTGTTGTTTCCAGACTAGAGAGCTTAGAAGAAGCGCTGGCTGCCTCGGCCTCAGGCCTTTACCAGGTTAACTCTTGATTCCTCCAGGGAGGGCCTTGTGCTCTCATTTTCAGAAATGTTCATGGGATAATCTGGGGGGGGGAGGGGGAGGTTCGGATATGTTATTGTGAGTACCCCCCGATTTAGGCCATCTCTATTCTCCTCCAGGGAGGAAGCTGGCATGGGACATAGGTATCAGCCAGCCCCTGGACTTCCCTCTCTCTATGACAGTTTATGTTAGGGAAAAAAATCATTTGGGTTTTTAAAAAAATATTTTATTGATTTTTCACAGAGAGGAAGGGATAGAGATAGAGAGTTAGAAACATCGACGAGAGAGAAACATCGATCAGCTGCCTCCTGCACACTCCCTACCGGGGATGTGCCCGCAACCAAGGTACATGCCCTCGACCAGAATCGAACCTGGGATCTTCCAGTCTGCAGGCTGAGGCTCTATCAACTGAGCCAAACCGGTTAAGGCTCACTTGGGGCTTTTATATTTTTTGGGGGGAAAGCTTTTAAAAAGACCCCTCCCCAGTACCCCTACTGGGGTCCTGCTGGGGCCCAGGAGCTGCTCACGCCCCACTTGGTTTGTGCTCAGAACATGACGGACACGGTGGTGAGGACCACGCTGAGGAACGACCTGTCCCCCGAGGGCATCATCCACCACCTGAAGATCCTGAGCCCCATCCGCTGTGCCTTCCGCAATGACCTCCTGACGTCATCGGGCTACACCCCAGAGTGGGGGTGAGTGGAGAGACACCCCCTTCTCCCCAGCACGCATTCCTTTCCAGCACCCTCGCTGGGGCTTTCCTTAAGGTTCCCATCCCTTGAGGATCCATCTGACAGACTGAATGCACAATGGACGGTGCCAGGACTTGGCTAATAATGGCCAGTGTTCTTCAACCTTGTTCCCGCTTCCAACTCAGGACCGACCCGAGGAAGCCATATATGTTTCTCTAGTCAACCACATTGGACATCCCACTTAGAGCGAGCCTGCCCATGGCTTCTCTGAGCCTCCCTTTCCCGCTCCCTCTACCTGTCTGTGAGTCTCCATCAGGCAGGGGATAGGACTGAGCCCCAGCTGCCACCAGTTCAGAATAACCAGCCTTTCTCACTTACCGTATTTTCCGGCGTATAAGACGACTTTTGAAATGGAAAAAAAAAGCCTGCTCAGATTGGCCAGAGTCAGAGAGGCGGTCTATTAAAAAAAGAACTGGTGTTGCCTCGGAAGTGGGGGGTAGTCTTATACAGCGAATATAGGCCTAAACCTATGTTTTAACTGTAAAAAAAAAAAAAAAAAATATATATATATATATATATATATATATATATATATATATATACATATATATATATATATATAAATAAATAAATAATCAGGGGGTCGTCTTATACACCGGAAAATACGGTATTCTCATTGGGGTTTTATTTCTACACTTCTTTATTTCCACACTTTTTGAGGTGGCTTTTCAGGGAGCAGTGAGGATGGGCAGGGTCCCAGGAGGGAATCTCCAGCAAGCTGCTCCCTCCGCAGGGTTTACACCATCATTGAGGACCTCCATGGCGCTGGGAACTTCGTCACGGAAATGCAGCTGTTTATCGGGGACTCCCCCATACCTCGGAATTACAGCGTGTCCGCCAGCGATGACATCAAGATCGAGGTGGGGCTCTATAAACAGAAAAGCAACCTCAAGGTGGTCCTGACCGAGTGCTGGGCAACGCCGTCCAGCAACGCCCGGGACCCGGTCACGTTTGGCTTCATCAACAACAGGTAGGGGTTCGGGTGGGCCTTGGGCATCGCTGCCCCCTTGCTGGTGGCCTGTGTTGGGTCCTCTGTGTTTCCAGACTTGTGTGTGCATGGCCTGGGTTTTGGGTAACACCCCACAGGAGACCCTTTCCTCGCGGGAACTGGAGATCTAGCCATCCTTGCCTTCTAGGGAGCCTGGTGGGGATGCTACATGTGCAGCCAGATGTATTGTGACTCTCTCACTTTGGAACCAGGATAGCAGAACCAGTTTATAACTAACTAGAGGCCCAGTGCACAAAATTTGTGCATTGGGGGGAGGTTGTCCCTCAGCCCAGCCTGCACCCTCTCCAATCTGGGACCCCTCGAGGAATGTCTGTCTGCCCATTTAGGCCCGATCCAAATAGGCAGCTAAACAACCCTCTCACAATCCATGACTGCTGGCTCCCAACTGCTCACCTGCCTGCCTTCCTGTTTCCCCTAACCACTTCTGCCTGCCACCCTGATCACCCCCTAACCACTCCCCTGCCTGCTTAATTGATGCCTAATTGCTCCCCTGCCAGCCTGATTGCCCCTAACTGCCCTCCTCTGCTGGCCTGGTCACCCCTAACTTCCCTCCCTTGGTGGCCTGGTCACTTCTAACTGCCCTCCCCTAAAGGCCTGGTCATCCCTAACTATGCTCCCCTACTGGCTTGGTCACCCCTAACTGCCCTCCCCTGCAGGCTTGATCACCCCCAACTGCCCTCCCTTCCAGGCCTGGTCCCTCCCAACTGCCCTCCCCTGCTGGCCATCTTGTGGTGGCCATCTTGTGTCCACATGGGGGCACCCATCTTTGACCACTTGGGGGCAACCATCTTGTGTGTTGGAGTGATGGTCAATTTGCATATTACTCTTTTATTAGATAGGATGAGTCACCTTTTTTTCTCCTTCCAGCTGCCCCATCCCCAACACACATACCTACGTGATTGAGAATGGAGACTCCAACAAGGCCCAGTTTAAGCTGAAAATTTTTTCCTTCATCAACAACTCCATAGTCTACCTGCACTGCAAACTCCGCATCTGCATGGAGACCCCCGGAGCCACGTGCAAAATCGTAGGTGTTGGGTGTCTAAGTTTTTGTCCTTATGAAGAGGGTTGCTGTGTTATCCAAAGCCCAGGGTGTGGGTGGCTCTGAGAAGAGGTGCTGGGCCCCCTAAAAGGTGGGAAATGGCATTTCAACCGTAGGCAGCCTTTGGGGCGAGGCTGGGGGGGGCAACATAGCTAGGTGTCATCTCAGTCCTTCTTGAGGCTACCCCATCTGCTGGCCCTCACATCAGAGCTTCCTTGTCATGAGGCTGTTGTACTTCCCAAGGTGATTGAATGCATATTTAGGTGCGAAAGCACTATTTTAATTTCACTTTATTTTTAGCTGCTTTGACGGAACACTGCTGTTTCGTAGCCACTGTGACATTCAGTCAGGTGCTTTTCCTTCCCTGTGTGCAACATGCATGCTGGGATTATGAATAATTTTACATGCTCATTTTCTTTGACCTTTGAATTCAAAATGTGCTTTGCAGTCCTGAGATTTGAAAGCTCTCCTTCCTACCAGTGACAAGAATGAGAAGTGACTGTTGTTATGTTGTCTGGGTCCAAGGACAATGTAGGGGGCTCTGTTGGCCGCTGGTTGGACCACTGCATACCTCTCTCTCTGTGTGTCTGCATAATCCACCTCTGAGCATCAGTAGGTCATGGATGAGTGAAGTCCAGTGATGGTCGGTTTTGTTGATGTCACTTTTATCCAACAGCACATCTGCTGGAGCACCAGGAGGAAAGGGACACAGGCCGATGCCCGCCAGCTAAGGGCGCGGATGAGTCTGGCCCCACAGAGATGCTGAGCGTATTAATAGCCACAGTAGCACCTGGCCTCTGCAGGGAGCTGCCAGCCCCCAAGTTCTTTACAACATGAGCTCCACACATTTCTCCCCAAGTTCCTTGTGGATGGACATGGGATTGGTTTCCTGTGGTTGCTGTACAAAGTGCCCTAGAAGGATTGGCTTAAGCCAGTGGTCTGCAAACTCATTAGTCAACAGAGCCAAATATCAACGGTACAATGACTAAAATTTCTTTTTGAGAGCTAAATTTTTTAAACTTAAACTTCTTCTAATGCCACGTCTTCAAAATAGACTCGCCCAGGCCATGGTATTTTGTGGAAGAGCCACACTCAAGGGGCCAAAGAGCCACATGTGGCTTGTGTTAATGAACCCCCCCCCCCAACAAAACAAAACAAAACAAAAAAACCCCACATTGAAACCTGTAAAAAATGTTGTGAGTTTATTTGAGCCAAACTGTCGACATATGCTGGGAAGCAGACCCTCAATGAATTGAGATAAAAATGTACCAAAACTTATATTGATAGTAGGAGAAGACCAATGTGTAGCCAATAAAGCATTAATGTCACGATCAGACCTGATAATCAGAACACCATTGTGTAGTAGGTGGGAAAGATTAGCAGGTATCCAAGTTAAATTTTTCATATCTATTAAGGGAGGAGGTCTGGGGAGGCAGATATTGTTTCCACTAGGGAACCATAAGGATAATAATAATATGAAAATCATTTTATATACATTCAATCAATAACAATCAGATGATATAAAAACAAGGTTCGAGCAATGTCAGTTTGTGAACACACAGGCCTTGTTGACGTCGTCTTGGGATAGCTGTCTGCCTCCGTGGTTGTCAGAAATGGGAGTACACGTCTATTCACCGTCAGGTGCTTTTTTTTAAAACGAGAAATGTTAATCCATGAGCTAACTCCTTTAAGTTTAGGTGCACATGGGTTAGTTAGTAATACCTGGTAAGGTCCCCTCCAACAAGGTTGGAGAGTCTTTTATTTGGTGTCTTTTCTAAGACACAAAATCTCCTGGTTGTAAGCCGTGATCTTTGAAATCTCCATCTCCCGGGAGCGCACTGTGAAATGAATCTGTTACCAATTTGTCAATTTCTTTAAGTTGGTTAATAAGCCCTTGACAATAATGTACAAAGTACAGGGAGTTGGGCCCCTACAGGTAAAATAGGTTTCTGATTGGGTCCAAGTCATATCTGTCTGTCTAGGTCAAAAGTTCCCCCTATTTGTTGCCATATCCTCTTTTCATCTTCCGTGGCTGTGTGTTGAAACTGTAAAAAAAAATCTTTTATTGATTTAATAAGAAGTAAAGAACATTCTCAGGTTGGATAACTTGCTGTTCAGCATTAGCAAAATGGTTTCCTTTTGCTTCCATGGTGGTGAAATGCCCTGGGATTTTTATAATTGCCAATTGTTTTGGTTGCTGTATGGCATCTAAAAGTTCTGCAACCAGTTTTCCTTTTTTTTTTTTTTTTTTAATGGGCAGCCCAGAGGAAGTTAAGAAGCCTCGCTGCTTACATAACATTCCAAAGTCATGAGCTACACCAAATGCATAGCGACTATCAGTGTAGAGATTGGCTACCTGACCTTTGGCCAATTGACAAGCCCAAGTCAAAGCAATGAGTTCAGCTTGCTGGGCAGACCTGATTCCAGGCAGATAAGAACTTTCAATTATATCCACCATGGAAGCTATGGCATATCCAGCTCGGAAATGTCCTTGTTCATCCTTTAGATAGGATCCATCTGTGAACCCACTTAAGTCAGCATTATCAATAGGAGTTTCCTGTAAATCATTCCTAGGAGCAAGAAGGTGGTCAGTAAGAAAACACAATTGTGGGTGTCTCCATCCTATAAAGAGGGTAACAACGTGGCAGGGTTAAGACAATTACACCTAGTTAAAGTAATATTAGGTGCAGAGAGCAGGAATACTTCATAAGAAGCCAGTCGACTGACAGAGCAGTGTTGAGTATGATGAGAGTTCAGGAAGGATTCAACAGAATGAGGAACATATATAGTTAAAGGGGAGCCCATGACTATCTCTTCTGTCTGTTTACATAACAAGGCTGTAGCTGAGATGGCCCTCATGCAAGAGGAAGCCCTTTTGCCACTGAATCTAGCCCTTTCCCATTTGGTTTGCTGACTATAATACCCTATAGGTCTATGGTGGTCTCCAGGTTTCTGAGTTAGAACTCCTAAAGCATTGCCCTTACTTTCATGTGTGAAAAGGAAGAAGGGAAGTTTATAGTTTGGATGCCCCAGAGCAGGAGCTCAGGACAGTACCTCCTTCAGAGCCTCTATAGCTTGTTTCCCTTCAGGGGTCCACTGAATTGGATCAGGTGTGTCTGACTTTAACAGGGCATAGAGAGGGTGGGCTACCAATGAAAAGCTTGGAACCCAATTTCTACAATATCCAGTCAAGCCCAGGAATCGTCTAAGCTGTGTTTTTTTTGTGTTTTTTTTTTTTTTTTGTTTGTTTGTTTGTTTGTTTGTTTTGAAGAGGGAAAGATAGGATTTCTCTAAGTCCTTCCAGGTTAAGCAGTAGCCCATCCTTTGATATGAGATGGCCAAGGTATTGTACTTGAGCTAAGCAAAATTGAAGCTTATCCTTTGAGACCTTATGTCCCTTTACAGCTAGCTGTTGCAATAAGTAAATTGTATCCTTTTGACAGTCTAGTATGTCCTAGAGCATACAAGTAAATCATCCACATACTGAATTAGAGTGGAATCTCTAGGAAATTTAACATCATTTAGAACAGCTTTTAATATCTGGGAGAAATAGGTGGGAATTTCTGTATATCCTTGGGGGTATCACAGCCCAAGTAAATTGTCGATCTTCCCAAGTGAAAGCAAAGAGGTATTGACTGTCCTTTCCTACTGGAATGCTGAAAAAACCACTACATAAATTTATTACTGAAAAATATTGGCAGTCCTCAAGAATAGTTGGTAATAAAGTATGTGGTTTGGAACCACAGGATGTTGGGGAATAACTACCCTATTTATAGCTCTGTGATCCTGCACAAATCTCCACCCTTTCCCATTTGGTTTCTTTACTGGAAAGATAGGAGAATTATAGGACTTGTACATGGAATTATAATTCCTTTTTTTTTTAAAAAAAGTAATCCTGTATAATGGGCTTAATTCCAGCTAGTGCATCAGGTCTTAGAGGATATTGGCGAATATTAGGTAAAGGCAAAGTACTACCAATAGTTATTTCAATAGGAGTGGCTGACTCAATCTTGCCAAATCTGCACTGGAAGGCGCCCAAAGTTGCATTGGAACTTCTTGCAACAAACGTTCAGTTTCAAGATTATTTTCATCTGGTGAAAATTCCTTTAAAATCATTATTTTCCAAATTGGTTCAGTATCTAATTCATTTAGTTCTAAATACATTTCACCTTTTTGGGAAAAAAGAAATATGAGCATTATGGATTTCAAGAAAATCTCTCCCTATCAGGTGAATTGGGGTTGATTTGACCAGTAAGAATGTATGTTGCCCCGTAATATCCCCTAGTTGAAAGGGGACAGGTCCTTAAAAACGTAAAAACAGTCATTGGTTGGGTAGATACCCCTACCATGTGTACAGAAGCTTTGCTCTGAGGGAGAGGGAAACTTAGATGGGTAGGGTTAAGAAATGATGAAGTGGCCCCAATATCCACAAAGGCTTTAGTAACTTCTCCTTTTATGATAATTTCAGTTTTTCCTAATGTATTAGTAAGGAGAAGGGGAAGTACCTTCTCATGGTCCTCGGAGCAGCCCTATGCTTGCTTCTGTCTGTTTTCTCTTTTCAAATCCCATTTCAGTTTTCTACTCTTTCTTATGGTGGCCTGGCTTTTTGCAGTAAAAACAGACTCCTCTGTCCTTTTCTAAGAGACTGTAGAGTAGAACTGGCTTGGTTGTTTAATTGTAGAAGCTGTAAGTTTATAATTTGGGTAACTTTATCTTTTTTCTCTCTTTTGGATAGTTTTAGATAGCTGGTCTGCCAGAATAGCCAGTTCATCAGCATGCATAGTCTGCCAGTTCAATTTATGTTGTTTGATCAGAATTATAAGTTCTTCATCTAGTCCTTTCCAAAATGCTGAATTTAGTAAGGGGTCATTTTGATGATCCTTGAAACTGTCTGGCGACAGACCTGAATATCGTTTGAAAGTCTTTTCAAAACGTTCAAAGAAATCAAGCACTGGTTCATCAGGCTTTCTTTTACATTGCTGGATTTTGGTCCAGTCCATTCTCCGAGGAAAAATTTCAGGTATGGCTTGATAAAGCCGGTGGGCCAATTCCCTACATTTTCCTCTGTCTATCTTTTTCTGTTTTAAAAAAAAATCATCTGCAGGAGTATTCCAGCGAACCTTATTCAGCTATTCTGTTGCCTTGCTCTCAGAAACCAGTAGGTGTATTCATTGGAACAGGTCAGAATAGCCAGGATCATACGCTCTAACAGTTAAATCAAATTCCTTTGCAAAACCTATTGGGTCCTGCAGAGGGTCAGGAAAATCTTTAGTTAGGTTTCTTAATTCTGTTCTAGTCCAAGGAACATATACAATTGCTGGATTCCCCTCTACCTGAGACAGGCTTTTCCCGGAAAGGAGCTGTTAGAATTCTTGAATCATCTTTCTCTGAGTTTGTATTCTCATTTTTCCCTAGGTCAGCAGGGAATGGTGGTTGAGGAGATATAGAAGGAGGAGGAAGAGAAATGGAGGGCAAATCTACACAAGGAAGCTCAGAGAGGAGGAGCAGTGAGAGAGGGAGGAGTGGGGTCTCAGCACTTACTTGCTTCAGTGGCCTTCTTCAGTTCAGAGACAGTTTCCAAGATTTTCTTATTAACTTCTTGTAGGGAAGATATTTTATCTGATCCTCTCCTAGAAGCCTCTAATTTCCGATCAAGATAAGCTTCCCATTCAATTAATTCACTTTTAGAGCCAGCTTTTTCTAATTGAGTGCACAGAAAAATCAATTTGGGGGTGTCAAAAGTTCCCCTCTTTGGCCATTTCAAATTGGTATCATTTTTATTAAATTTTCCCATTTTTGTAGATACTTGCAAGTTGAAATTCCATATGAATTGTACATTCACCCTGCTGGAGTGTTAACAGGGGCTGGGATTCTTGGGGTTTAGCAACCTCAGAGGTGCAATTTCCCATCTTTTAAAATTTATTATTATTATTGACTATCTGCAGAGTCTGAGAAAAATTTAGGGGTGTTATGTAGTGGGTTATGAAATGTACTGCTTATGGGTTGAGCTCCATGAGGCTCTCATCCATCATGTTGCAATTCAACCCTCTTACGAGCCTCGGTTTCCCTCCTGGCTGTCTAAAATAGCCAGAAGGGCTCAGGGCGCTGGCTTACCAGGCCTTATGGATGCTCCCCCGGATGTGCCAGGCAGTTAATTACAATTGAGTTGGAATTTCCCTATGGGGCTCCTTCACATCGTGAGGGATGACCTCTGACACCTCCACAAGGTTCTTAGTCGCCTAAGAACACCCGAGAATCGGGCAGGAGGGAGGATGTGCCCTATTTTTTTCTCTGGAGCTGAATGAGTTCAGCTCTCAAAAGTTTAGCGAAGGTTTTTGCTCAGATTCTCAGAAAGCAATTCCAATTGAAGAGCCGAAATAAAAACCAGCCACCCGTGTTTTCCTCCAGTCTTGCCTTAACTTGGGTTCTATTAACCCTTAATCTTAGTTCCACCTCAAGGATTTTAAAATACAGCTCAAATAAAGTTAGACCCTCTACCAAAACAAGGGAAGGTCCTGGACCCAAGAGACAACTCACCCAAATTCACCTGATACGGCAGGGAGCCGGCAGGGCTCAATGGGCCACTTGCTGGGTCCTAACACCAAGTCCGAGTCTGCAAGGTGATCCTGGGTGAGCGTCTTTGGAATCTTGCAGACTACAGCAAGTAATGTTTACAAAACAAAACAAAACAAAACAAAACACATTGCAACCTGTAAATAATTTTGTGAGTTTATTTGAGCCAAGCTGTCAACATGCCAGGAAGCAGAACCTCAATGAATTGAGATAATGCTCCGGAGAATGGATGGTTACATCTATATTTATACATTGCAATCAAAGGAAAGGAACAGAGGTAAGTTACATGAAATTCATTGGTGATAGATTAGGGAGGTGGGATAAAGCAAAGCAGGGAAACCTCTGGGATAGGGCAAAAAGTGAAATTATGGACATATGCTTCTCTTATAGAGATGGAAACAGGATACTTTAACCTAATTAACAGTAGACAATTAATTTGATAACAGTAATAATGAGGGAATGTCCCGGTGCCATTGATTGTGCCCTGAGGGGTCGGGGTAAAAAGGAAGTTACATCTCACAGATATGTTATCTTAGAGGCAAAAAAAGGCAAACGGGCTCAGTAAAGAAGATCTAAGCTGATCTTTGTCAGGGAAAATATCGGCCTAGGACATTACTACCCACTATAACCTGTTTGTAGTTAAATATTTAATTTTCAAACCACCTTTTGTGGTTATTTTAGGTCTCTGAGTTTGCAAGACTGCCACATAGACCTCCCCTGAACTATGTCAGGTTAGCATGCGGCTCCTTTCGTCCACACTTGCGAGCCGCAGTTTGCCGACCACGGGCTTAAGCAATAGACATTCGTTGTCTCCCAGTCCTGGAGGCTGGAAGTCCAAGACCAGGGTGTGGACAGGGCCGGTTCCTTCTGTGGCTGTAAAGGATGATCTGTTCTAGGTCAATCTCCGAGGCTTGTAGAAGCCCATCTTCTCCCTCCATGTGTGTCTGTGTCTGTGTTCCAATTTCCCCTTTGGATAAGAACACAGTCATATTGGACCAGGACCCACCCAAGCGAGCTCGTTTTAACTTGAACATCTGCAGAGACCCTGTCTCCAAGTAAGGGCGCATCACACATCCTGGGAGTTAGGACTTCAACATCTTTTGGGGACATATGAGCCCACGGCGGGTTTAGGCAAAGGCATGGAAAGGAGCACGTGGTGGCAGCAGGCTGTAGAGATGCGAAGGTGACTCAGAGCTTTGTTGAGAAAGGGCCCCGAACCAAGGGGCCAAGGGATCAGCACTGGTAACTAGCGAAAGCTCGAGGGGTGCTGCCTCTCACTGCTCTTGTGCACCTCCTTGTCCAGGTGGTCCAGGTGGCCTGGGTGGTCCTGGTTTTCCTGGTGGTCCAAGTGGTCCAGGTGGTCCAAGTGGCCCTGGTGGTCCTGGTTGTCCTGGTGGTCCCGGTGGTCCTGGTGGTCCCGGTGGTCCAGTTGGTCCAGGTGGTCCTGGTTGTCCTGGTGGTCCCGGTAGTCCTGGTGGTCCCGGTGGTCCAGTTGGTCCAGGTGGTCCTGGTGATCCTGGTGGTCCCGGAAGTCCTGGTGGCCCAGGTGATCCAGGTGGTCCAGGTGGTCCTGGTCGTCCCGGTGGTCCTGGCAGTCCTGGTGGTCCAGGTGGTCCTTGTGGTCCAGGGGGTCCTGGTGGTCCCGGCGGTCCTGGTAATCCTGGTGGCCCAGGTGGACCTACTGATCCTGGTGGTCCAGGCCTCTGCAGCCCTACTTCTCCCTGGCTGAGCTCAACCATTGCGATTTCATGTCTCCAGCAGGAAAGAAATCTATGAATCAGGGAACCATTCCAGAGACTGGGTACGCTTCTCATAAATGTTGTTCCACTAATTGAAGTTTCTCTCCTTTAAAAAAAACACAACACACAACAGAATTGCAATGACTTTCGGTCGCTGAGAAGCGGTGAACCATCGGAAACACACCAGATGTCCTGGGGACCCCTCATTCGGTCTGACGGTGAGTGGGGGCCTTGGTTTAGAAAACTAAAGAGAAGATACTATCATCATGTAAACCAAAAAGCAATCCCTTGGAACACAGAGCTCGTAAGATTTTCCCTAAAGACTCGTAGGAGTAGTAACAATGCCGGCTAACGCTCTTGAAGAGCCCTGACGTCCCAGCACTATGCTCCGTTCTGAGATCAGACGAGATCGGGCGCCTTCAGGGTGCTATGGCCGTAGACTATGCTCCATTCTGTACCCCCAGAGTGTAATTTGCTCTTCTCAGCAGCCCTGCAAGGTCAAATCTATTACTGTCCCCATGTTGCAAATGGAAAGACTGAGGCACATGTTTAAATAATGCATGTTTGGGTAAGGGAAGGCAGTAAAGTTTCCTGATGCTGGATAATTGCATGCAGGGCGTTGTTACTAGGAAAAGACTCAGACTATATGCTGGCCAAATTCTGTATATTTGCATGTGTGTGCGTGCAGGTGTGCGTGAGCGCGTGTGTGATGTGTGCATGTACAAACGCATGTGAATGTGGAGTCTGTTGTATTTTAGGCTTGGCTAAATCAGAAGATGCAAAACAAAACAAAAAATGGCACTGTTGTTCTCTCTCAGTATAAAACTTCCATCCACCAATGTGAAACTCTATGAATTTTCTATGAGTTTTCTAGGAAGACATTTTCCTTTCTTTGTGATCTATCCTATTTTTTATTTATTCATTTTTTTGCTAATCATCTCTTGAGGATTTTTTTCCTATTGCTTTTTCAGAGAAAGTGGAGGGAGGGAGTGGGAGAGAGAGACAGAGAGAAACCTAGATGTGAGAGAGACAGATAGACTGGTTGCCTCTCACATGCACCCTGGCCTGGGGCAGGGAGCAAACTGGCAACCCAGGTATGTGCCCTTGACTGGGAGTCCATAACCCTTTGGTGCATGGACTGACATTCCAACCATGGAGCCACACCAGCCAGGGCTATCCTATTTAAAAAAAAAAATGGTTTGGGGAAATGGTGTGCTTTGGATATTAAGACAAAAACTGCTAGCTGTTCCCTAATATCTGTTCTCCTCTCCTTCCATAATAATAAAACCCCAAGTTTTTTGCTGGGAATAAAAACTATATATTTTTTAAAAATATAACCAACCTGGCAGCCAGGTGTGGCCATATGAGTAAGTGCTGGGCAACGAGACGCAGGTGGGAAGGGCTGCCTCCTCAGAACATCCCGTGCCCCTGCTTTACCCTGTCGTCCTCCTTACCTCTCCATCCTGCTGCCTACAAGGCCAGCCAGACGGCTGCCGCCAGTCCCCATCCTGGACCGTGAGGACCACAGGGACAGGAGCTGGACGAGCCGGGCCCCCGAGGACATTGCGGTGTGAAGCTGCTGGGCCAGGTCTGGGCTCCGACTTAGCCAGTTTTTATGCACGAAAGAAATAAACTTCCACATTCTTCATCACCGTTATTTTAGGTCTTCCTCTTTTTTTGCAGCTACGGTTAATCCTAATTGTTGGGAAATCCTACTATTCCCCTTTTTTTGTCGTTTTTCTTCCTCATTTTGATGGCCCTCCTTCCTCTTGATATTTTCCGGGACAAGAACATCTGTGTGTCGGATGCAGGGTCTGAGTCAGGATGTGCGTGCGGATCTGGAGTTGGATAGGCATTCTCAGCTGCTGGGTCTCATCCAAAGCATTTGGGCAATGCGCACTTCCACAGCTCCCAGGGCACGCCCAGCTTCGTGTGCCCTGGTGCTGGGCGCTGGGCCTGGGGTTGGCACTGGCCCTCGGGCGGCTTTGGCTTGGGTCCGAGGACAACATGCTCTTCCTATCCTCCTCACTGTCTTAAGTTGCTTAGCAGAGCTGGGGCCCTCGTGCAAAACGGAACATATGTGCATTGCATTGCCATGCCTGTACATGCCTCCTGTTTATTCATAGATATTACAGATGATGTAAAAACCAGAGTGGAAAAAGCTATGGGATTGGCATTAGGAGACCTGAGTTTGATTTTAGGCTCTCATACTTAGGAGATGTGTGGTCTTGGGAAAATTGGTGAATCTTCTGGATTTTATCCATCCACTCATCCACCCATTTATTCACCCACCTATCCATCCATCCATTTATTCATTCATTCATCTACTGTCTTTCATTCATCCACTCACCTACTCATCCATTCATCCTCTAATCTATCCATTCATCCATCCATCCATCCATCCATCCATCCATCACATACTCATCCATTCATCCTCTAATCCATCCATCATTCTACTCATCCATCCATTTATTCATTCATTCATCTACTGTCTTTCATTCATCCACTCACCTACTCATCCATTCATCCTCTAATCTATCCATTCATCCATCCATCCATCTATCACGTACTCATCCAGTCATCCTCTAATCCATCCGTCATTCCACCCATCCATCCATTTATTCATTCATCCATCTACTGTCTTTCATTCATCCACTCACCTACTCATCCATTCATCCTCTAATCCATCTATCCATCCATCCATCCATCCATCCATCTACTCATCCATACATTTATTCATTCATCCATCTACTGTCTTTCATTCATCCACTCACCTACTCATCCATTCATCCTCTAATCCATCCATTCACCCATCCATCCATCCATCCATCTATCCATCACCTACTCATCCAGTCATCCTCTAATCCATCCATCATTCCACCCATCCATCCATTTATTCATTCATCCATCTACTGTCCTTCCATTCATCCACTCACCTACTCATCCATTCATCCTCTAATCCATCCTCCATCCATCCATCCATCCATACATACATACATACATCCATTCATCCATCCATCCACCTACTTATTCCACTGTATGTCAGGCACTGCTTTTTCTCTAGGACATGGATGTGTACCTCATTTTATCCATTCATTCTCTGATGGACCCTTGGGTTGTTTCCACCTTTGACTGTTGTGAAGCTTTGTGGGTTTTGTAGGTTTTTGCCTCTCCCCGGGAAGATCAGCTCGTACTCCTCCACACTGTAGAGTGTTTGAGCCAGTCCCACTGAGCCGACCACTCTTCCCGCAGGGCCTCCTGCTCCCACATGGCCTCCTCTTCTGGGCCAGGGCTTATCCCGAACCCTGAGCAGGCTGTTCTGTGCTAGCTGCTGTGCTCTCCCCGTCCTCAGACACCTTACCTTCCTGGTCAGCTGTGGGAACCCACAGGTACATGGGCACACACCTCACTGCTACAGTCCTTCGGATGAATCACATTCAGACGATCATGCTACAAAGTAGCCGACAAAGGGGGGAGCTCGCTCTACCCAGGCTCCGCCTGAGCCCCATTCTACACTCACAACAACATCTCAATGCTGGGACCAGAGGGGGACCAGAGGGGTACCCGCCCAGGGACGCGCTCTCCTCCTGCTTGGGGCAGACCTCCCACCTGTGCCTGTTTCATCCCCTGCAGGTGAGTCTCCAGATGTGCAGCCAGGCCTGGCCCCCGGCTACATCGTCCTCATTGTGGTGGCCGTCTTTGCCGTGGTGACAGGGGTCGCTGCCCTTCTCATTATGCGCTACCAGAGGACCACCGGGAAGTACAACTTCAAAACCCAGCCGGACGACTTCAGCTACCAGGTGTTCCAGGACTAGGGGCCCTGGCTGCCCGGAGGTGGGTGAGCCAGTGTGGCTGCTAAACCTTTGGATAAACTCTAAGTTTGTAGAAAGAAACTGGGCTTGCTGTCCTCCCAAAAGCCTTTTCACAAGATTCTAACTCAAGCTTTGCAAAAACTGCTCACTCACGATGCAGGTGACCTGCTTTCGACACTGATAGAGGCCTCCCAGTGTATCTCCATGGCTTTGGCAAAAGGTAGATTTGTAGGCGTCAGCATTCTGTGCCCGTGATATATATATATAGTAAGACACATGTACTTGGTCTTCGTTCCCTGTTCCTGGCTTAAGAGTTCCCGAAACCCTTGGCTTTCAGAAGCCATGGAGCAGGAAAGGTGTCTTCTGCTACATTTTTGAGGTGACTTTTGGAAAGCACCCAAGGGTGGGGCTGGTTGCCAGGAGACCCAGCCATGTGATGGGAGGGTTGGAAATGTTAGTCCCATCGCCTGGTGTTGGGGGAGGGGAGAAGGGGTTGGAAGTTGAATCAGTCACCAATGGCTGATGATTTAATCAAGCAAGCCCATGTAATGACGCACCCATAAAAAACACAAAAACTATGGGGTTTGGGAGCAGTTATCTAAGATATCCCCAATTCTCAAGGTGGGGTGACAGGGTCCAACAGTGGACTGAGCGGCTGTTGGGGTCAGGAGGAACGTTTTCCTGGGATCTCTGAAGCCTCCTGCAAATTAGTATCTTCTGCCCTCCCCTTCCCCCTCTCCCTGAGAGACCCAGAGAGGGGAGTGGACAGCAGCAAATTTCAGCTCACCTGACACTCCAGCCATAGAAGAGGACCTGCCGCAGGGGGGTGCCTCCGTCTCTGGGTGGGTCCCCCGGGGTTTGGGTCATGACCCTGTTCCACCCTGTGCCCTGTCTGGTTACTGTCGTGTGGCTGCACCCCGTTTCCTCACTGGGCCAGCAGCATCCGCAGCCAAGGCCGCCTTCCCTGTGCTTGGCTCCTTAGTCTCTTGAGGTAACAGATCTTCAGGACAACTCAGCAGAGAGTGATAGATACCGGCCACATCCTCAACCTGAGGAAATCGGTCCCAGGGAGCTCCAGGGACCTCCCCAAGGTCACAGAGCAGAGGCGGGTCACAGCACACTGCCCCTCCACAAGCCGGCAGTCCTGCCGGGGCCGTTCGTCTCCCCCAGAGATGGGGGAGCTGTCCGAGGAGGCGCCGGAGAGATGCTGCGTGGCTTGTCCTGCCCCTCTGCTCCGAGGACGCCTGGCAGCTGTGTATCCGTGATCCGGGGTCTGGGAGCCCTTATAGCCCAGATAGACGGAAGGGCTAGGCCCGTGGTCGGCAAACCACGGCTCGCGAGCCACGTGCGGCTCTTTTGAGTGTGGCTCTTCTACAAAATACCACGTTCAGGCGCGTATGTACAGCGCGATTGAAACTCCGTGGCCCAGGCGCAGAAGTCAGTTTTCGGCTCTCCAAAGAAATGTCAATCGTTGTCCTGTTGATATTTGGCTCTGCTGACGAATGAGTTTGCCGATCACGGGGTTAGGCCAGTCACTCCCCTGGGGAGAGGATTTTCGTGGATTTCACTTAGTATGTAACATGTAAGTTCCCATAACCGGCCCATGCTTGTCCTAAATGCCTTAGGAGAGCTGCGTGTCGGTGCCACGGCCCTGCCGGGCGTCCCCCTCCTTGAAATGAAAGCACTGAGGGAAAATGGTGTTTTACTTTTATTCTTCATTTTATTCTCCTGGGGCTTCGGTCTTCCACACTGGAAACCACCTATAACGAGCTTTCAGGTCTCTGCAAACCTCAGCTCTTTGAAACACGGTAAACAAACCACCACCTCTCCACACACCAGACGGGCACGTGGCACCAGAGCCCCGGGTCCGAGGGGGGTTCTCCACAGGCAGCACAGAGACACAGGTCCCTGAGGATATGCTGTCCAGCTCAGGCTCAACTGCCGCTGACGTGGGGGGCTTCACCCACAGAGGCCAGACCACCGGCACATGTTCCGGATCCTCAGTGCCTCATGGAGCTGCTGCCCCTTTATAGGTGCGCAGTCCCTCACCCTCAGCCAGCGAAGCAATCCTGTCCTCAGGGCTGCTGGCAACCCTCCACCCCCAACCCCCACAATGCTCCAGGGGGTTCCTGTATGGACCTCTCCTTTGCTGCAAGAGGCTGATCCACGTGACCTTTCCTACACAGGTCGCCATGAGTCAAGCCCGGGTCTTCACTCATCACACACTGACGGACACCTGCTCTGCCCCACACTTGGATGAACCCCAGAGATGATGACAGCATCACCTCGGCCTGCCCCAGGAGGCTGGTTATGTAGGTTCCGGACAAGCAGGCCGGGGAGAGGAGCTGATGGAGAAGTGGGCACGGTGTTGGCAATGCCGGCAGCTGCAGACACAGGGATCTTCACACCCAGCACGGACACAGCTCCACCATCATCCAGGCACCTCCCCAATCCCAGGGCTCCCAGACCCTTCACCATCCCATTTTGTCCTTGTGGCCCTTCCTGGTTTTGCTCCCCCTTGACATTCATCCTTTCATCTATCCATCTTTCCATTCAGCCAGCCAGCCAGCTATTTGGTACTCGTTGTCAAATACGTAATATTCCTAATTTTCCAAGATATTTGACAGTACACTTGAAGTTATTTTTTAACAATAGGTCAGTAATAAATATATTGTCTAGTGGACATACATGCTCTTACTTTTCTCCTGCATTACCAGGATATTATTTTATTCACACAGTGGTGACGCAAAAGACACTATTAATAGGAAAAATCTCTACTAAGTAGAAATAACATAATATATATTATTCTTTATATTTTTCAAAACATTTTCTCAGCCATTAAGATATAGTCCTACTACAGGGGGAAGTACCACTTAACCATTACACAATGGCAAACCAGAGAAGAAATGGGTGAGTTATTGACTTAAAGTCACAAAATGAATTAATGAGGAAGTGGGTCTAGAACCTAAATATTAGTATAGAATTTTCTTCGTTACACCACGCTAACAGATCATGCTTGTTACTTGATTTAAAGCGAATTGAACTGTATTCGATAGTTAACACCTGATTGTATAGTGTCTTTCCTTGACGAACTTGGAATTGTAACATGATCTTTAGCTCTGAATTCATGAGATTAATTTTGTTGAGTATAATTAATTACCACTTATTGAAATATCTGGGAAGAGTGAGATTTCTGATGTATTGGATATTCTTGGAGTCAGTAAAGAGTTACGATACGCACTGTTGCGGATAACTAGTTTTGAACAAGTAGAATAAACTGCCTCTGACATTAAAACGTTTGTGCCTGTGCTGGCTGCTCTGTGGTTCAGGTGCTCAGCTCGCATCCACGAGGGCCCAGGGCTGTGCTGGGCCGTGAGGGGAGACTGGGAGCGTGTCTCTGGCTCTTCCTGAGCCGTGTCCGTCTGCCCAGATACCAGCTCAGGTCCAATGGCATGTTGTCTTCGAATGAGAGACAACGCACATGCAATGACCCAGGCTCTGAGCCCTATGATGGAGCTTTTGGGTTTCAGAGCGGATGTGCATTTTGAAACTCCAGCTTTAAATCTTCTGCAGTTTTCATGCCATCTCAAGAAAAATTCTACATTTATTCATCTGTGTTTCCGTGAGAACCTGGTCTCCCCTCATCTGCCCCAGGGACAGAGTAACAAGTATGGGCTCCTGTAACAAGCATTTCCTGAGCACACGCCGTGCTCCAGGTCTTGGGCTCAGAGCTACTGATGAAACTGTGAGAGAGCCGACTGAGCCCTGCCCCCACTGAGCAAATGGTCTTGTTGGGGAGAGACACTCACATCAATAGCTGATGACGTTCAGGACAAGTGCTGAGAGGGACAGATGCATGTGTGCTGCGAGGCACCCTTGACCTGGCCCATCCATCTACTCACCCAACCATTCACCATTCACCTCTCCACCCACACAGCCACCCACGTACCCATCCATCCATCACCCATCCCTTTACCCACCCACACACCACCCATCCACCCATCTAACAAAGGACTGTTTGCTGAGTTCTGGTTCTTATACTGACACCAGGAAGACAAAAGGGATGTGGTAGAGTCCTTGCCCTTAGGAACCCAAAAGCCACCTGGAGAGAAGTCCCTGTGAAGACCACAGCCAGGGAGGCCAGGCTCTTGCCCCTCCAGGAAAGTCGTAGTTGTCTTACTGGTGAGGCGTGCACCACCTAAGTAGCAACTCCTTAGAACTCAGCGTACCTCTGAGAGTGAAGGGAAAGCCTGGGCCCTCGCCAAGGCAGATTGGCCTCGGGCAGCTGAGGGTCTGAGTCCTGGGTAGTTCTCATGTTCAGACACCACCGGAGGCCCCAAGTCCTTCTCTGCCCAGGAGCCGGGGCTGCGATTCCCTCTGTGGTGGCGGGTCTGCTGGAGGCAGAGGGTCTGATGGAGAGTTAACTGTGTGGTCCTCTCCCTCTGGCCCAGGCGGCACCACCCCTTTCTGACCACTAGATGGCGCGCAGGCCAGGGCAGGAGATCCCTCTGTTTCCTCAGCCTCCACAGACCTGCTGTTCTTGTTTTCTTTTGCCTGATTCTGCCTCTTGCCAACAAACAAAAGGAAATTTGAAATCATTCCGCAGGGCTTTGGGGTCCTGTGGGGATGGGGTCCTGGGTGCCCTGGAAGCAGCTCAGAAACTGACATTGGTCATTCAGGGCGGACAGTCCCTGCATCTTCAGAACAAGGAGTAATTGGAGGCTCTGGTCACTGGGCAAAGCAGGTGTGGCTCCATTCCCTCCCCCAACTTCCCACCAAAGGGAGTCACCTTCTTCCCCTCCCTCCCGCTCTGTTTCCGGAAGGAAAAGGGCAGCCTTGCCATGAGCCAGTCTCTGTGGGTGTGGCAGTGTCCCTGGGTGTGGCAGTGTCCCTGGGTGTGGCAGTGCCCCTGGGTGGGAACTCTGGGAAGGACGGGGTGGCTCCTGCAGCAGGTTCTCAAGGTCTGAGCAAAGCTGGGGATCTGGCCGATGGAGGAGGCACAC